TGCTGCTTGGCCTGCTGTGTTCATCCAGCTCTACACCTTGTTATCTCAGATTCTCCAGCATCTGCAGTTCCTAGTAGCTCTGAACCAATCTCTGTGTCTGCTGTTTTCAAGGGCACTCCATAAGAGTGTGGTTTGTGAACTCTCACTCAGCAATGATAATGCTAATGGTTCAAATGATTTCAGAACACACACAATTTTCAGAGGCATGCTAGCTTCAGAATGTGGCATGTTTCATAGCTGATCAAAAGGGTTGTGAATTCTGAGGGAAATCTGTCCTGGAGTTGGAAGCCTTTTGACAGGTATATTTAAAAGATGTTGCTAATTTGGCATATCATTGTCGTGATTGTAACAAGGTTAGCCAAGTGGTCATCATCGAATGAGTTCCCTGATTGGGGCTGTTAATCTGGGCCAATCAGGGAGCCCTGACTGACAGATAAAAAGAGGAGCGTCAGACGTGCTGGCTCGGAGGGTGATGGACCAGTGTCAAGGACATGGTGATGGGATACTGGCCTCTGTGGAGTTATTTCAGTCGTAGTTAGTCGCTTTATGATAATTTAAGTATGATTTTATTGTGCTGCTTTGTGATAGAGCTTTGCTCTTAAAAGATGTGACTATTAGATTGACCAGCATTTTGAATTGTCAGGTGCATCAGCATGGATGAAGGGCACTTTTCATTGGGATTCACATTTTAAGGTGTTAGTTCGACCATGCAGTTCAATCTTCAATTTGATTGACAGATTAACCACCTTTCAGCCATTTGAAGCAGTCAGCATATGTTCTACTACTTAAAAGGTTACTATCTATCCAGTTCTGGAGATTTTGTTTACATAATTGTTCAATAAAATTTCACTATGAACACCTAGAGCTATTCTCCAATTTTCACCAGCTGATTCAGATCAGCAGCGATTGTTGATCAAGTTGTCAAGGCAAGTGTGTTTTGTTTCTATTGACAGTTTTATGAGCACCTATGTAGATTATTTTTTGAAAATGCTTTTGAATGTTTACTCATTTACTTATACAGTTTTATGACCACTTAAAATTATTTAGGTTTTTATTTTTTCAAATGGAGTTGTGCAATGTTTGTTACGTAGTTTTGAGTTCTTAAGAGGATTAGTGTTATTTTTCAAATTTAGTAAAGTAGGGAGATCTGCTCAATTTTCCCTAAAATGGTTCTATAGCATCTATTTAATGATTGATACTTATGAAATGCAATTAACTCTTGAAATATTTCAGCAGCTTTTGGAATGATACCAGGAATTTTTTTTTAAAACTGAAGGAAACATAGAGTCAGCATCTGAGATGCTGATGTTTAGTTGTCAAATTCATGCAACACATTTTTGCTTTCAGTTCAAATTACTAATTGTCATTTTTTTTGTTCTTAAGGTATATTGGTTGCTTCAGAGTGATTCTGATATGACAGGAGACTTTTTTGCAATCAATGGCACAGTCATAATCCTGGACATGCAGCTGAATGCAGAAATAAATGTTCAGCTGTTGGCTGATGATGTTCCGGAGTTAGATGAAGTTTACACAATGAGGCTGACTTCTGTAGAAGGTGGAGCTGATCTAAATGAGGGAAAAGACAGTTCAAGATTTCGGGTTCCTGCAAACGATGACCCTTATGGCCTGTTTGCTGTCTACTCAGAAGGGCAAACTGTGATTGTTGAAAATGACTTGAGTCGCTATTTTCAGATTAACATTACAAGACATGGTGGAACGTTTCAAGATGTGCTTGTGGAATATAAGCTCATATTTCATGGACAAGATGGATTTCTGGGGACTGTGGTTGTCGAAGATGGTGCTAGATTTGCTGTTTCCAGTGTTCCAATCTCAAATCAGGTGAGTGAGACAGCTTAAAGTGAAACAAGTACTTCAGCTGAACAAAGCCATCTGTTCTTGAACATCAGTGAGGACGTCGCTGCTTTACTGAGTTGGATGAACGCGAAGTAATTGTAATTGCAAACAACTATGTAAACATGTTCACCTTCTGCTTTCATTTCCTGCTGTCATGCTGAAGAGGCATGTAAGAATAGCATTCAGTCAAAATAGGTGTTGGACCTTGCACTATGTTTCCCTCTGATCAGAAAGTCTGTGAGGTGTAGCAGTAAGATTGCAAAGAATGGAAATGGTAAAGCATGTACTTTTGTTACACGGTTATGATGGAAAATTTGGACCCATGCAAATATAAGTGACAAAGTGATATCCTATAGCTCATTGCCATTGCTAGTGCTCCAGATTTCTCAACCTCTAGCAGTGGCTGACTTCATTCCCTACTTTCAATGGCTTTATTGTTCTGGGGAAGTAATGCTGTGGAAACATCTGCCTTGGGTTACTGACGTGAATCCGAAGTCCACATTTTCCACTTAATCTGACCACAAGTGAATTGGAGGGGGAGAAATCCTTATCTGTATCCTTATCCTTTTTTCTTTAATTGCCTCTGTGATATCTTCCATGCTTTGTTAGCATTTTTAACTACTTTATGATGATGTCACTGACATAATTTTAAGAGTAGATGTTGGAGAAAAAAATTAGATGTGAACTACCTAACTACAAGACAAAATAGACTCAGCAGAGGTGGTGGAACAGAGGTGTACAGTTAGGTGGGAGTTACTGCAAGAATCCATAACATTGATTCAGGATACTATGAAGTGTTATGGCACCAGGTCAAACTTGGACAAAGCAACCTGCTGATTACTACATAAACCCCACCTTTTCAACTACCCCCCCCCCACCCCACTTAAGATGATTTTTTGAAAATAACTGATGGGATGTGCGTGCTGTTGGTTAGACCAATGTTTATTGCCCATGTCATGATCCCAGCTGATATTTTTGAATAAGTCAGATTTGAGACTGAAAGTGGACATGATAAATCATGCGTTGTTTTGTTTTGCTTTTACAAAGTAGCCTCTTACTGAAACAAATGCCCTTAATTCTGCAGTTTTTTTTAATGATGAAACAAAAGTTTATTAACAAAAGAAATGAGCATAAACCATCTGCTTATGACATAATTAAATTTTCTTTTAGTCTTTACTGGGATGCAGGCGTCACTGGCTAGGCCAGCATTTATTGCCCATCCCTAATTGCCCAGAGGGCAGTTAAGGGCTAGCTACTTGCTGTGGGTCTGGAGTCACGTGTAGGCTATATCAGGTATGGTATAGTTTCCTGCCTTTTAACATGGTCATCATTAGACTTCTAATTCCAGATTTTTATAAAATTAAATTCCACCATCTACCATGGGAAGATTTGAATGTTACCTGGGTCTCTGGGTTAATACTTATGGGATACTAACATCATAGTATCACCTCTCCAGTACAACCCCAAAGCACTCCTTACAAATTAGAAGGAAAAATGGCAGCTTTTGTATGGTATTCAAAATATGCCCTGATACAGTACCCAAAAGGCACTTTGTCTATTACCTAAAAAGATTACTTGTACAGGACTCAAACCTAGTGCTAATACCTCACTAGATATAAGTCACCTGTGAGTCTAACATTGCTAGGATTGCAGATAGCTTCTTCCTGGAGCTTTTACACACTTGAACTTAAACCCATCTTGTAAGTAATCTTTTCAGGGTTTTATCCCAACACTTCTAGTCTGGGGCTAACACTGGCTCTTTTTTTTCTCTAAAGTGAGCAAGTTCATTATAATTCTTCCCTTCTTAAGAGCAATGGACAATATAGCCATCTTCATCCAAGGACTTCACAGCTCTGCCTAAAATAAAAGTAAACCAAAAGAAAAAGTCACCAAGCTATTGCTGTTGCACTTAAGCTTAAAAGAAAAAACAAATTCCAAAAATCTCAAACCATTCTGGATCTAAGAAGTTTAATGTAAGCAAAAAATGGTGCACAAAAGCCCATTAACTCTAAAGCAAAGCCTCAACATTTTTTTAAAAGTATGTGGCTACAGAAATACATCCAAGTTTATTATTAACTTCAGCCACACAGAAAACCCACAATATTAACTCAAGAACCAAAAAAGCCCAAACTTAGAATAAATGGTTTAAATATATATTATATATAAATCACATAGTTTACATATCCATCTTTGGTTACCATTGAGAAGGTGATGGTGAGCTGCCTTCCTGTACCATTACAGTCTGCTGTAGATTCACCCACAATGCCACAAAGGAAGGAGTTCCAGGATTTTGACCCAATAACACTGAGGGAATGGTGATATACTTATAAGTCAGAATGGTGAGTGACTTGGAGGGAACTTGCAGGTCATGGTATTCCCATGTATCTATTGCTGTTCGCTTTCCAGATGACGGTGGTTGTGGTTTTTGTAGGTGCTTTCTAAGGAGCTTTGCCATTAGTATATTGCCTCTTGTAGATGGCACACACTGCTTCTGATTGTTTGTGGTGGAAGGAGCGAACGTTTGTGGTTGTAGAGCCTATCAAACAAGCTGCTTTGTCCTCGATGGGATCAAACTTCTTGAGTGTTGTTAGAGCTGCACCCCTTCAGGCAAATGAGGAGTTTTCCATCACACTCCTGACTTGTGCCTTTTAGACAGTGGACTGTCTTTGGGGAATCAAATGGTGAGTTACTCATTGCAGGATTTCTAGCTTTTGACCCATTCTTGTAGCTATAGTATTTATATGGCTCATCTCGTTCAATTTCTGGTCAATGATAACATCCAGAATAGTGGAAGAATCATTAGTTGTAATGCTATTGATGCCAAGAGGTAATGGTTATATTCTCTCTTTTTGAAGATAGTCATTGTCTGGAACTTGTGTGGCATGGATGTGACTTGTAACTTGTCAGCCCAAACTGGGATGCTGTGCAGACCTTGCTGCTTCACTATCTTGGGAGTTGTAAATGGTGCTGAACATCGTTTAATCATCAGTGAACATCCCCATTTCTGATCTTATGATGGAGAGAAGGTCATTGATGAAGCAGTTGAAGATGGTTGAGCCTAGGACACTACCCCGAGGAATTTCTGCAGAGTTGTCCTGAAGCTGAGATGATTATCCCCCAACAACCAAAATTATCTTTCTTTGTGCCAAGTATGCCTCCAACCAGCGGAAAGTTCTTTCACGTCCACCCTTGCCCTGATTCCCATCAATACCAGTTTTGTTAGGGCTCCCTGATGCCACATGTGGTGAAATGCAGCCTTGATGTCAAGGGCAGTCATTCTCAACTCATTTCAGGAATTCAGCTCTTTTGTTCAATTTTGATATAAAGCTGTAATATGGTCAGGAGCTGAATGGCTGTAGTAGAATCAGAATTGAGCCTCAGTGACCAGTTTATTGCAAAACAAGGAGTTGATGGCTCCTTTCATCACTCTACTTGATGTTTAAAAATATATTGATGGGTGATAATTAGCCCGGTTGGTTTTGCCCTGCTTTTCATATACAGGACATCTCTGGACCATTTTCCACATTGTCAGGCAGATGCCAGTGTTGTAGCAGTACCTTACTTCTGGCAAAACACAAGAAGTCATTCACCAATGGCAAATTATTTAAGTAAACATGATTTAGCAGCTGACTCTTTATTCAAAGGCTTTAAGAACAAATGAGAGATTTTGATAGGGACACAGGGCATGTCACTTGGTGCTTCCACAGCAACAAGATGAATTGAGTCTTTGCGCAAACATGTCTTTCAACAACTATAGCAGGGCCTGAAGGACTATAAATGCTTCTCCCTACAGTTTGATAAATGCATTGATGTGACCCACACAACTCAGCTGATTATTTCTGTGCACAATGCTTTTAAGGACATAACTAACAAGGATTTCTCACTGTTTTGCCCCTTAAAGGATGAATATATCTCCAATAAATTCAAAAAGGTACAGACTCGAAAATAACACTCCAATCATGAAGCTGGTTCCATCACAACTGATGGTATGTCAGTGATGCTTGCTGCACATATGTGCTTTATGACATTTTGCAGAAATGATCCTGATATCCCCTCTTTTGTCAATTACCACTGTGTAATCCACCAGCAAGCATTAGTGAATAACATTATGGACTTTTCCCATGTCACAAAAGTTATTGTTAAAATTGTAAACTTGATTTGAGCAAGAGTCCTTCAGCATTGCTTCTTTAGATCCTTACTTTTTGAACTTGATGCTGTTTATGGTTAGTGAGGCTAGTCAAATTGAGGGAAGGTCCTGTGACCATTTTTTGCTCTGGTGCCTGAAATCTTTTCTTAAACCGTGGAATGAAAGAAACATCAGCATGCAATGTTGTGAAGAAAATACCAGAAAAAAATCAGACAAAAAGTTCAGACAAAAAAAAAGATTGTACTGAGAATACTGTGCCCACCTGAGAAAGTTAGCAGAGGAATTCAACAGGTGATTTCAGGAATTAGATGTGATGGAACAAATTAGAATGTTTGTCTCAAATCCATTCTTTCAAGTAGATATTGGTGGGTTGACTACTGAATTCTATCAGGTGTTTGATTTACAAAGCTATGGGGTTAATATGGAGATAATTACTATACAAAATAATACTGAACTGATTAATAGACAGTGATTTTGGGGACTCGTAAACAGAGAAAAAGTACCCACTCTTACTTTAACTGCACATACCTCTGTGAGATGATATTCTCCCAATGAAGAGAATCAAGTCCGAGTATTGCACTCACCTCACAGCTGATGGTCAGTATATGACTAGCAGTCTCAAAATACAACCCAGACTTCAAGGCACTGTCAGATCATGTGTAGCCACAAGTGTCACACTGAGACTTGGTGAGTAGAGAAAAAAATGGACAATTATATTTACTTGGTTTTAAATTTATCTTGTGGTAAAAATAAATTGTTTCTTCTATATAAGTGGCAAGTGCTGTGTTGCGCATAAATTCAAAAAGTGATCTTATGTTTATAAAGATTTGAGACCACTTGGTCTAGAAGGGCAAGGGCTTCAAATAAATGGGAACACCACCAGCTGCACTTCCCCTCCAAACCGCTCACTATCCTGAATTGGAAAGATGTCATCATTCATTCAGTATCGTTGGGTCAAAGTTCTGGAATTCCCTACCTAACAACATTGCAGTCCACTTGGTGTAAGTGCAGCAGTTCAAGCATGCAGCTCATCTCCACTTTCTGAAGGGCAAATAAGAATGGGCTATAAATTCTGGCTCAGCAAGCAGTAGCCATATCGCATGAAAAATAATTTTGCGATGCTGCACTGAAGTATCCTGCAGCTTGTCACACACGTAAGACTGCTATGGTAAGGCAGTGGAGTAGTGGGCGTTCATTTCTATCAATCGAGTGTGATTATTAATTAATATATATCTACTTTTGACATTGTAGACATTCCTTGGACTGGATTTTAATCTTTCTATTGAATTAATAAATGCAAGTCTTTTGAATGAAAATCCTTCCGTTCCTCCACGACTGTTCACTGGGACTAACTCTGCCACTATATTTGTCCCAGAGGAAGCAGCAAATTCTGAGGTAACTTTTTTTTAAACATGTATAATTTTGGATTGAATATCTTGTTATTTGTTGAGAGGAGAAGTTGATTGGTTAGAGACTACATTATCATGTTGTTGATTCTAAGACCTTGTGCTTCTTCCTCTGATCTGTGTTTGCAGAATTTTAATACTGATCCGTGCAATATGAGTGAAAAAAATTATCTACACATTGTAGTATTGCGAACTCTGTCACCAGAGTTCAATCATTTTCGTTCTGCTCAACCAGACAGTAATTGATTCTCCTTTTGCAGGAGATACAAATTTGAGTCACACAACAGCTTGTGTTGAATCTAGACACAACATTAACTGTTTCAAGGAATGCCCACTTTGAGTTTGATTTCAACTTCCAATATTTCTCAAAAGAAGTCAGTGAATTTCAGAGATAGTAAGAACTGCCGATGCTGGAGTCGGAGATAACACAGTGTGGAGCTGGAGGAGCACAGCAGTGAAGGCAACATCAGAGGAACAGGAAAGTTGATGTTTTGGGTGGGGAACCCTTCTTCAGATCTTTCTCCAGCCAGCAGGCAAGAGCTCTATCCCTGGGATTAAATACTGCCCACTAAGTTACCTGACTAAGTGCTTGATCAAAAAGTTAGCTTTTTAAGAGTATTTTAAAAAAGAAAGAGGGATGGAATGTTGAAGGGAGGGCATTTCAGGATTCTGAACGTTGTGCTCCTGATTGTCAGTTGGTGAAGGATGAAACCAGTTTCCACCTTTGTTCAGTGTACGTTTATCCAGAGTGAAACATTGCTATTATCAAACCTCTGAACTCAGCCACGCACCACTGTGCATGTCAGCAGTAACAATACAAACAATGCCCTCCATTTGGATATAGTTAACCACAATTGGCATGCAATAAGCATTGAGTATATGTGACAAAAGCCACAACCAAAAGTAGAATGAATGAATAAATAACTAAGAAAAAGAAATTGAACCAGAGGCAAAAATTAGATGAGCACAGATATCTTGGAGGATTGTAGATCTGGAGGAGTTGGGGAGGATGAGGCCATTGAAGGATTTGAAAACCAGGTTGAGGACTTTAAAATTGGGATATTGGTTGACTTGGAGCCAGTGTAGGTTAGCAAGCACGTAAGAAACAGAAACTATTGCCAGTTCAAAAAATGACAGCAGCGTTTTGGATTACCTTATTTATGTACTATAGATAATATTCTATCCTAAATAAATGAAGATATTGTCTCAAAGTTTGTTTAGATCATTCCATTTTTAATCAAATCATTCAGTTATGTGTTTGTAATCTTCATTTATCTGTATCTAATATATTTGGAATGCAAAGATGGGACTCCTTACTACATTTACAGATTAAGTCTTAATAACTGGGTGACCAACTGAAGTGCATTGCAAAAGTTAAGTCTAGGAATAATGAGTGTTTAGACAGGAGTTGAGCTGTGACAGAGCTGAAATCAGGTGATGCTACAGACACGCTAACAGCCAGTCACAAGAGATGGCACAAATGTGAGATTAGAAGCTCCTCTCCAAATTAGATGTGATCTCAAGTAGATCGCTTTAATCGGTGTTGCTAGGGAGAGATGAAGTAGGTGGTTTGGGGTGGAGCTTACAGTAAGGATGGTAAAAATCAGTTTAATCTTCCTAATATTTAACTAGATAAAATTTCTACTGGTTCTCTACAGGATGTCAGAAAATCTGATAATTTAGCAACAGTGGAGGATTTGACAGAGGTCGTGGTTGGGCAGTGCTGGGTGTTTACAGCAGACATGTGAAAATAATGCTGTGTCTTTAGATCTAACTGAAGGGCATTTTTTTATACAATTGATAATGAAGTCAGAACAAAAAGAGAAGCCATTGCAAGTCATTCTCTTATTATGATTTAAGAGATAAGAATTGAACAAGGCAAGAATAGTCCTACAAGATAGATAACAGTGGAGAGGCATTAAATGAGGAAGGGGGTGGCCAATTGTATCAAGGGCTGCAGCAGCTCAATAATGGAAAGGAAGGAAAGCTTACCTTTGTTGCAGTTAATTAGTTGTCACAATGTTATTTGTGACTTGCTAAGCGATGTTATGGTGCAGTCGTGGGAGCAGAAACCTGATCGGAGGGATTTAAATGTGGATAACCATTTGTAATATCAGCCAAGATGGGGACTAGGAGGAGAAATTGGGAAGTTTTGTTGGAATTGAATGAAAGGAGGTAATTTTTGTGGCCAAAATGAGCTCAGAAAAGGCATGAGGTGAGACAGGAGTGTGCGATGTAAACTGAAAGATTTATACACATACATAATATAATTTATTTTAAGTTTGGATTTTTGAGTTTTGAATTGATGATGTGGGTTTTTTCTATCGAAAGAGTTAATGATTAATGTGTAGGTATTTCTGTAGTCATGGTGATTTGTTTTAAAACAGCTTGATGGAATAGCTTTCGGAAATAATGGGTTTTTATTTACATAATGAAGGTTTATGAGTGAGCAGTGTAAACGATTGTACATCAAGGTTTCTGTCAGAAAATTTTGGAATTTTTTAAGCTTAGGAAATACATCCATAGCTTGACAATAAAGGTTTTTTTTAGTTTCAGTTTGATGCAGCCCTGCAGAAGGTCTTAGATGAAGATGCTCAGAGAAAGGGAGAAGGAAAAAGTTACCTTACAGCAAGAAATTTAGCATAAGTTTCAGACCAGAAGTGTTTAAATGAAACTCTGACAAGGCTATTTGAAGCTGAGAATGTTTAAATTTGGGTGTATGAAAGCTCTAGGTAAAGACAATCAGACTTTTTAGACTGGGCGTTGACATCACACTTAAGTTAAGCTTCTTATCAACATATTAGTGAAAGGAATTCTTCTCTGGTGTGAGTAATGTACAAGTGATCATTTTAGCATTTGTGAAGATGTGTTTTTGGGATTAATAATATTAGATCTATTAATGTGTGTTACAAAATCTCTAAACTTATGTATAAATAGTTTGGATTTACTTATTTTATCTTCATTTCTGTTATGAAATAATCTGTTTTTATTATTAAAATGAAATCTATAAAATCGAGAGCTTAAGTTTGAGTAAGCCACCACCTGATTAAAACCAAAACTAAACAAAATATGATCTATCAAGCCAGCTTTCTGTCTGGGATTTGACTTGCACAATATTAACATCAGCTGGGAACATAACAAGAGAAACTGGAGTAAGTTGTGAATTCAAGGCTAGGGGAGGGGGAGCATTAGTAGAAGTTTGCCCTGTGGGCTAGTGGAAGTGAGGGCAAGACAGAGGCAGCTGATCAAGTCGCCTTGATCTTACAAAGATGCCTATGAGTTCTTCACACTGTTTGTTGGAGCTGAGGGTAGAGGGGATGGGCAGAGGGTTTAAGAAGAGGTTTACAGTTAAAAGAAGAAGATGGGGTAACATGTTGTATAACAAGATGACACTGATACAGTGAAAAGCAATTGTAGCAACTGAGAGGAGGACCTGAGGGTGATCTGGGGGCTCAGTCAGATCTGGCAGTGGCTGATTAAACCGCTTGTCTGCCATATCCTTTTAAGTCTCCATCCATTGGTACTAAAAGGAGTGGAGATAAGGGCCATACAGGTAAACAGCTGGGGTGAGAGAACACTGTTGTTTTTATAACTGGTCATCAAACGTGGAGTGAATGTGGGATTTATTCAATCCATAGCTACAAAAATAATATGATTAATGGAGAACCTAATGCTAGACAGTTGGGACTTTGAAAGTGTAGTTGTAAATGAATGAGGGGGTAGTGATTTTTCAAGAGACAGAAACAGAAGGATTTATTGTTGGGATGTGAAAATGGAATGTGGATGATATGTGATAGAAGGAAGTGATCCAATATAATCTTAGCTGTGATTGATTCAATGGGACTGACAGGATAGAATAGGCAAAAGTTGCATTTATGGTTTGAATACTGAAAACTCATTGGAAACTTTGGTAACCTTAAATGTTTGGAACAAAGGAATAAATTCTACTATTTAAAACAAAAAGGCTAGATTTGCAATTTATTGGGATGAAAGTCTAGGTTTTTATTTGAAAAATTTTGGGACCTCTGACTGAATAACTAGATTATCTGTTCAAGAATTTAATAAATGCCACACTATTGTCTACTGCGTAATTTTATTCTGGCATATCACACTCTGCAGCAATACTTTCAAGTGATTTATGAATTCTAAGTGAATTTGAAATGCAAAAATTGTTACCTAGAGTAACAAAAGTATACTTTTTTTTGTTTTGTACAGAATGCATATGTAAGAAATGGACATCTCTTTTTGATGCTGATTGTAATTAATTCCTTAAAGCCTCAGCAGTTTTGCAGTTGTCAAACGTTATTGTGGTTGTTGAATGTTATTATTCTTTTTAGGTTGGCTTTGAATCTTTGATTCTTGAAGTATCAGATGTTTCCGCTGGTACCTGTAGTGCCACAATAACACGAAATGGTGTCTATGGAGTTGTAGTTGTAGAGTGGAGCAGTGGCTACCCTCATGGTATGACTCCTACTCGATTTACACCTGGTAATATCAAACCTGCATTTGGTAAGTGCCATTGATGAAAGTTTATCGTATTTAATCGAGAGATGTGTGATTGATAAAAGCAGTCTGACTTTACTTTCCTCACATATCTATCTCATGGAGCAGAAATTTCTGTTTTTTCAGGCCTGGTACCTATAGTGGCTCAGGAACTGAAGCTGTGAGTAGGAACAGAGGAATGTAGGAACACAATAGTAGGAGTGGGCCATTCAGCCTGTCGACTCTGCTCCATCATTGAATACAATCATGACTGATGGAGCGCTTCAGTACCTTTCACCCACACTATACCCAAACCCTTCGCACAATTGATGATCAGAAATCTGTCAGCCTCTACTTTAAATATACTCGAAGACAAAGCTTCCATAGCCCAATGGGGTAGAGAATTCCAAAGATTCATAAACCCATGAGTCACAAAAAAACTCCTCATCTCAGTCCTGAATGGCATTTAAATTGTGTCTCCTGGTTTTCAACTCTGTAAACAGTGAATACATCTTACCTGCAACTGCTCTGTCCCTTTTTAAGTCTTTTGTAGTTTTCAATGAGATCACCTCTCATCCTTGGAAACTGTAGAGAATGCGGCCGAGTTTAACTAATCTCTCCTCAAATAATAGTCCTTTCATGCCGGGAACAAGTGTGGTGAACCTTTGCTGCCCCTTCCCCACACCGCCACATGGCGATAATATCCCTCCTGAGATGTGGAGAGTGCTTGCTGAACAGCCAAGGAAGGACAGGATCGAGTATGCAATGTGTCAGTGAGGACTTTCTATTTAAAGAGACCCTGGCAGGAGTATGAGTGTTTGCAGGAAGTCCTGCTTGTGAAACATTCAGAAAGGTGGACAATGGAGGGAGGACTTCAGAAGTCTGTCACCCTTGGATTTTAGACCCTATCCTGAAGGATAAAATGGAGGACGAGCTGAAAGATAGAAGCAAAGTCATTATCCCTGAGTATGGGTGGAAGAGGGAAGCATGACGAAGCCAGTGTGGTTGGAAGCAGGACGAGAGCAGCAGGAGTGTGCAGTCCAGGAATTGGATATACCGGAAAAAATTTAATACTCTAGTTAGGTCCAGCAATGTGAGTGTCTTACCATTTTCAAGTGGTGTCCATTTCACTCTGATTTCCCTTGCATTCTCCTGCACAACATTTCTCACTTTTCCACAAACTTGTTTCTTCCCAGCCACCTCATCAAATCTCCAACTCTGTGGATGCTACATAGACTTATTGCCTTCTTGCACTTATCCCTTACTGTCACCCCCTTAAATCTTATCATTTCTTTTTCAGCATACATTTCATTTCTCACTTGTTTACTGCATTACAGCACTAACAACACTTTGAAAACACTTAATTAGCTGTAAAAAATGTTGTTAAAGCACTGTTTAAATGTAAGTCTTTATATTTACGTAACTCACTGCCTTAAAGAGAGGCCATCAATTCAGGGAGCTGCATGGAATCAGGGTGAACTTTCTACCATCACCACCTGACTTCATTGGAGGAGGAGATCCTGGAGTTTGTCAAATTGGAGCACACACGCAGTATCAGTGATGGAAAACTAGTGTGTGGCCCACAGGTACTGTCACTTAACACCGAACAGTCGCTCATGTTGTGTTGATGTCACAGCTCTCTGAACTGTCACAATATGAACCATCCTGAGTTTATATCCTTCCTCGGTGTCAGCACCAATTCATGTCTTTGATCTCCTGCACAATCTTCAGAGGTGGAGACAATGAGGGAGTAGTGTGAGGAAAGCTCGGGGGAGAGAAAATATTCTGAGAATGGATTGTCACAAGACCCATTCATATCCTGTACAGCTGCAGATACTTACCTTGGTGGGCCCTGTATTAGAAACAGCTAGGTTTTCAAATTGTGATGTTCCTATCATATGTGAGCTGGATCCAGTGATGGTGAAGTGTCAGTGTTGAGAGAGCTTCCTCCAGACTGTCCAGAAGACCCAAACTCTGCTTGGCCAGACGTAGCAGTTGAGCCTCAGCAAACATGTATGATAAAGGAACTTCTGGAGCTTCAACATGCTTTGTGTGTGCATTCCAGAGGCAATACACACCCTTGGAGAGAGATTGGAGGAGTCAATCTCTATTATCTGTGCTGTGATCACGAATATTAGCTCTGATATCCAGCTCTGTGGAAAGAGTAGTCTCCTGCATGGAACATCAGGCATGGCAGACCACTGATTGCAGACAGAATTAGATCAATGGTCAACGCAGTCTGTTCTTCACTTTACACAAGGTGGAGCAAAAGCCTGGCCTTGGTAGATCAGTGCTTCACTGATGTGCAGCCTAGTGCTCTGCAGCTTTTACCAACAGGGGAGTGTAAGTAAGCATTGGAGACGTGCTGGAAAAATGGCAAATGCCAGTGGGAAACTTTTCAAGGCACCTCACTTCTCATTCCTTCATTGCACATCCCCTCCACAGGTTGGGGCTGTTTTTAACAGGGCTTCCATGGAGACCAAAACCCAGATGATCTCCACCACAAGAGCAAGAGAATGAGCAGTCTGCTTCCAGCTCAGTTGATTCCATTGTTTTATAATAATAATACACAATTGAGCAAAGAAATGATAGATGTATAAGGACACTCACTTAGGTATTTATATCAATGTAAATCGAGGTATAATGATTATTTTGCTGAATTTTGTTGCCTTCCCAGTCACCCAGGATGGTAGCTCTCAGGTAAATGATCTCTGTTTGAGGGGGAAGGAGTGAGAATGTACTGATCAACTGGCTGACTGACTGTAGGAATACGATAGATCATTGGTTTGGTGAGGGAGTGAGGTGCATAGATTTTCCAAAAGAACTCTCAAATGTTTGCACATGTACATACCAGCTGACTTATGCATATTGAAAACTGTTAATTGTATATTAGTAGTGTTTATTTTTATGGAATTTCTTGGTATAAGCTGGTGATTCACTTGAACCCTTAACAACGCAGACTGAAGCTGTAGTTGTGTAACTGTAAATTAATACAAAAGCATGAAGAGTAATCCTTCAACTGACATTCTGTAATATCATGCAAGGGGTGCTTCCAGACCTGAATCATAGCTTGAACAACTCAATAACTTACCCTGGTGATCATTTGGCTCCTGAGTTATTTCTCCTTTGGTTCAGTGAAAATGGTTCCTCACAGGATTTAACAATGAGATCTTCTGTGGATAGCCTTTATCTCCCATGAGTCAAATGCTGGGGCCGTGAAGTGGCTTAGAAATCTACTGGAGATGTAGATGATGGAGAATGGATCATGAAACCTCCTGGTTATCTGGTGCAGACATACATGAAGACCTTGCAATCCTAACAAACCACCTGGACCACCTGGGCATGGAAGTCGTTCCAATTTGTGAAGACTCCTGGCTGATCTGAAGGCACCTTGATTGCTACATCATACAATCATTCACCCCACTGGGTTTGAGTGACCTCGTCTGTGTTAATGTTGCTGTGCTTATGGCCTTGGCAAACACATTATTGGTGACCTGGGTGGTATATGATAGGAGACCATGACATCCAGGAGATATCTCCAACAGATGTTGGAAGGATCTGGAGGTAAAGAATTTGAGGATTTGCGAATCTTGTTGATCACTATGTATTTTAAGGAGGCTGCAGGTGGTCTGAAACAAACTGCCATAAGAGACTGAGCCTCCTGAGGCGCTGTTGCTCTATCATATAGAGAAAATTTGCCCTCTGCCTGTAGACCTTGTGGTGAATCATAGAATCCATACAGTATGGATGCAGGCCATTCAGCCCATCAAACCTACCGAAGCCGACCCATCAAAGCCGACCTTCCGAAGAGCATCCTGCCCAAACCCACCTATCCTATCCCTGTAACCCTGCATTTCTCATGGCTAATCCACCTAACCTGCATACCTTTGGAGCATGGGAGGAAACCGGAGAACCTGGAGGAAATCCACGCAGACACGGGGAGAATGTGCAAATTCCATACAGGCAGTTGCCTGAAGGTGGAATCAAACCCGGGTCCCTGGCGCTGTGAGGCAGCAGTGCTAACCACTAACCACTGTGCCTTCCTGGGTCAAGAGCTTTGATCTGGAGCTCTCTGCCTGTCCACTCTGCCCTGTGGTGTGTTGTGCGGCTATGCAGGAGCCAGTTTCACCGGTGGCATTGGTACTCTGGTCCTGCTGCTGCGGCTGTGACAGATCCAATGGCTATTCCTCAGAGGGCCAGGCTACTGCTGCATGCAGGACTCCCTTGTTGCAGAGAATAGCGACAGTAAGGAATTTGAGACGCCGGCGCGTATTCTCTGAGGCACTCTTAATATCAGGGCTTTGCTATTGATTCTCAGAGCAGTGATTTCAAGCTGACAGAACTAATCCTGTCAACACATGTTTTACACTGTGCTAGCCAGGGGCTTTTATAGTGCACTAAAGTAGCCAATTTCTGTCAACTTCCTCCTGAGCAGTCACCTCATGATGCTGCACCCCCCCCCCCCACCATGAACGGGTGTCCCACATTCGCCTACAAACCTGCCGAGGTTAAATCCAGAGCTGGACAGGACAATGTTGGATCCATGCTGCTTCTCAGGGATTTTATTCACCGTGCCCATATCCTTGCCTGCTTTCTCCTGATCATTTAGAATTCCCTCATATATTCATCTCAAATGCAGGCATCAAATAATTATGCTTGACCCTTTAAAAGAGACCCACAGAATCAATTCCATGGGATCAATTAAAAGGTTTGTACCATTCAAGAGAAACTGGTTGATCTGTGTCAAAAGTGTGAACTTAAAATTGTGTGGAGTTATTAGGGATGCTGTCTGGACAGATGAACCAAGCTCACTCCATTGCTGGTCTTAGTATGTTTAGTAGCCTTCGGTCATCTAGGCTAATATACAAAAGCTATTGATATTTTTAACATGCTAGATTTTGAATTTTGAACTACACGTTTTGTGGACCAGACTCCTGTTTTCTTAGATGGCCGTGCTGGTCTAGAATTAGAGTCGTAGCATTGTTACAGTGCATAAGGTATCTACAAAGGAATTATATTTTAATATTCCACAGACATGCTTGGACCTCAGGATATCAATTCCTCAAGTTGCATTGTTGCATGCATTTGTACAAGAAGGTTCAATATTCACACCGTAAGCTTTATAAAATGTCTCTAAATTTCTGTAAAATTCGTAGGATTACCCTTATTTCATGAACTGAAAACTAGAGTCATAGAGATGTACAGCACGGACACAGACCCTTTGGCCCAACTCATCTATACCGACCAGATATCCTAAATAAATCTCATTCCAATTGCCAGCATTTGGCCCATATCCCTCTAAACCCTTCCTATTCATATACCCATCCAGATGCCTTTTTAAATGTTGTAATTGTACCAGTCTCTACCACTCCTTCAGCAGCTCATTCCATACACGCACCCACCCTCTGTGTGAAAAAGGTGACCCTTAGGTCCCTGTTAAATCTTTCCCCTCTCACCTTAAACCTATGCTGCCCAGTTTTGGACTTCCCCACTCTGTGGCGAAGTCCTTGGCTATTCACCCTATCCATGCCCCTCATGATTGCATAGACCTCTATAAGGTCACTCCTCAGCCTCCAACACGCCAGGGAAAATAGCTCCAGCCTGTTCAGCCTGTCCCTATAGCTCAAACCCTTCAACCCTGGCATTATCCTTGTAAATCTTTTTTGAACCCTTTCTAGTTTCACAATGTCCTTCTTGTACCAGGGAGACCAGAATGGCACACAGTATTCTAAATGTGGCTTAACCAATTTCCTGTACGGCCGCAACATGACCTCCAAACTGCTATACTCAATGCACTGACCAATGAAAGCAACCATATCAAATGCCGCCTTCTTCACTATCCTATCCACCTGCGCATCCACTATCAAGGAACTGTGAACCTGCACTCCAAGGTTTGTTTGTTCAGCAACACTCCCCAGGACCTTACCATTAAGTATATAAATCCTGCCCTGACCTGCTTTTCCAAAATGCAGCACCTCACATTTATCTAAATTAAAATCCATCTGCCACTCCTCAGCCCATTTGGCCCATCTGATCAAGATCCTGTTGAAATCTGAGGTAACCATCTTCGCAGTTCACTACACCTCCAATTTTGGTGTCATCTGCAAACTTACTAACCGTACCTGCTATGTTCACATCCGAATCATTGACGTAAATTACGTAAAGCAGTGGACCCAGCACCGATCCTTGTTGTGCATCACTGGTCCCAGGCTTCCAGTCCAAAAACCAAGCCTCCACCACCAGCCTCTGCCTTTTGCCACCAGCCTCTGCCTTCTAAGTCAACAAAGGGACAGTTAAAGGACTGTAATTGATAAAAGCTGAAGTCCCTAAGGTAAAATACCAAGGCTAATTGGATAAATACAGCAATCATTCACTCAAAGTCGACATTGATTAAGGACAGAACTATTGGTGATGGTTTTCTGATGCAATCTGTCAGTCATGCGAGCATAAAGTTGCTACGTTTATTGGAATCTTAGAAATATTTCTGCATGATTTCAATTTTAGAAACAATTTCTAATTCTTTAACATTGTTGATTTATATGTGTAAACTGGTAATAGTTGATCCGTATGTGACACCATTATGTTTTGTCCTTTGCATTATGTTCTAAAATTTGTTTTATGACTTAATTTTTACTTTACATAAGGTTCTGTTGTCCTTTTGCACGGTGAAAAAAGCAAGCAAGTGTTTCTTACTGTACCCACTACCAACTTTACGGGAGTAGAATCATTCGCAGTACATCTGACGGCAGTGCATAGTAATTCTTCTGGTAAAGCTGAACTAAGGTAAAGTCAACCAGTTGTATAGAAATTTTTCATGATTGATAATTATACTTGTCTATAGCATTCATTGTTGATTTATTTTGTAGCTATTGCTTGTAGCTACTTATGAATTCAAGTCAATTGTTGACCATCAAACTAATGTGCAATGCTATCACATATACTGTGAAATTTATTTGCTTTATAGTGTTACAGTCTGCTTGGGGGCTCATAAAACAAAAGAATTAAATTGACTGTGACCCACAAATTCATAAATTGCCAAGGAAAATTTCACATTTTGTAACTCAAACATTAACGTGAATTAGAAACAACTTGAACTAAACATAAATTAATGATAAATTGTAACTGAAATGAGCTGCACTGCTGAGGAACACTAGATGTAAGAAAGACACATCTCACTCATCATCTGGGCAGTCCATTGCACTGATTGGGGCACTGATTTCAGCCACATTTGTCTTCTGAGCTTGGACCTTCCTTGAGGAGTTATCTAGTACTTTTCATTCAAGTGTTTAGCCAACACTCATATCTCAGCTCTTGTCAGTCTTGGTAAAAACAGAAACAAAGAAACAATGAGGAGTAGCCCATTCAGCACTTTGAGAGTCGTCCATCATTCCATATGATTGTGACTGATTCTCTCTCTCTCAATGCCATATTCCCGCTTTCTCCCAAATGCCTTGATTACTCTAAAAGCATTCTCTATCTCTTGAAAATGTTCAGTGATCTGGCTTCCACAGCCTTCTGTGGTAGAGAATTCTACAGGTTCGCTTACTTTTTGAGTGAAGAAATTTTTCCTCATCTCAGTCTTAAATGGTCTATGCTGTATCCTGAAACTGCATCCCTTTGTTCGAGACATCATTCCTGCATCTTATCTGTCCAGCTTTGTTAGAATTTTATGTTTCAATCAGATTGCTGCTCATTCGTCTAAACTCTAATGAATACAGTCCAGTTGAACCATTCTGTCCTCATAGGGCAGTCTACCATCTCCAGTATCAGCCTAGTGAACCTCTGCTGCACTCCCTCTATAACAAGAATATACTTTCTCAGGTAAGTTCTTGATTACAAATAGGATGAAAGATTATCAGGGATATGCAGGGATGTAGAGTTAAGATTAAAATCAGATCAGCCATGATCTCATTGAATGGCAGAGCAGGTTTGAAGGGCCGAGTGACTTAGTCTTATTCTAAATTTGTGCGTTTGTATGTTCGTAGAGAGACCAAAACTGCACAAAATACTCAAGGTATGTTCTCACCAAGGCCCTGTATAACCCCAATGCATTCTGGTTTGCAGAAACAGGTACCTCTACGCCTCCTACCCTGACTCCATTTGCTACATTTCACCATGTCTTGGCAACATTACATGGTGCAAACCATAGTAAAACCAACTGAATGTGAACATTAATGTTTAAGTTTTTGAGAGCCCCAAGTTGTATGCATATGAGTGTTTTTTTTTATTGCTAGCTAATTCACTTCTTTTCACTGTTCTCAAAATACTTTTCTCAGCCTTTACAGTTTTCCTGTGTCTTTCTTTAAAATATTGCTTTGTATTTTTCATTGCTTTAAAGCCTGTTTTGGATTTTGTGCAATCAGGACGCTGGACTAGCCACTTGCAAAAGCTCCAAGTTTTGTTTTTTGATTTATTTTGTCTGGTTAACTGTGTCTGGAACAACATTGCTGAAAATCGATCTGGCTTTCATTCCTGGAAGCTGTAAGCAGGAATCCAAAGTGACCTCCCCTCATGAAATCATCTTAGGATTTTTTTTAACTTTTCCCACCTTCTCAGCAATACCCTCTGGTCATTTTTTTATCATCAATATTTTCCTCTCATTCCAGTTTCTCTGGGAGGTTACAAAGTGGGCTCTGTTATTAAACATCTAGTGAGCTAAATTATCATCTACAATTACCAAGGATTCCTTTATTGTAGAAATTTTATGGTCTTTCAGGTGAGACTTTAATGCCAAAGAACTGCTAATTTGAATTCATCTATACGTTGCCCACTGAGTCTGTTCCACCATTCAATGAGATCATGGTTGACATGACTTTCCCACCTTAGAACATATATAGAACATAGAACATTACAGCGCAGTACAGGCCCTTTGGCCCTCAATGTTGCGCCGACCTGTGAAACCAATCTGAAGCCCATCTAACCTACACTATTCCATTATCATCCATATGTTGATCCAATGACCATTTAAATGCCCTTAAAGTTGGCGAGTCTACTACTGTTGCAGGCAGGGCATTCCACGCCCTTACTACTCTCTGAGTAAAAAACCTACCTCTGACATCTGTCCTATATCTATCACCCCTCAATTTAAAGCTATGTCCCCTCGTGCTGGCCATCACCATCTGAGGAAAAAGGCTCTCACTGTCCACCCTATCTAATCCTCTGATCATCTTGTATGTCTCTATTAAGTCACCTCTTAACCTTCTTCTCTCTAATGAAAACAGCCTCAAGTCCCTCAGCCTTTCCTCATAAGACCTTCCCTCCATACCAGGCAACATCCTGGTAAACCTCCTCTGCACCCTTTCCAATGCTTCCACATCCTTCCTATAATGCAGCGACCAGAACTAAACGCAATACTCCAAGTGCGGCCACACCAGAGTTTTGTACAGCTGCAACATGACCTCATGGCTCCAAAACACAATCCCTCTACCAATAAAACCTAACACACCGTACACCTTCTTAACAACCCTATCAACCTTGGTGGCAACTTTCAGGGATACCTTTTCCCCATAATCCTTAATTCCCTAATTGATTAAAAATTTATCTCAGCCTTGAATGTACTTAACAATTCTGCCTCTACAGCCATCTATGGTAAAGAATATCACAGATTCTCCACCCTCTGAGAAAAAAAATCTTCATTTTAGTCTTTAATGGATGACCTCTTACTCTAAAATTACACTGTCTTGCCGTAAACTATCCCAAAAAGGGGAAACAACATCTCCACATCTATTCTGTCAAGCTCCATAAGTACCTGATATGTTTCAATTAGGCCTCCTCTCATTCTTCAACACTCCAATGAGTAAAGCCCATCCTACTCATTTCTCCTCCTAAGCAAACTCCTCAATCCTAGGATCAATCTGGTGAACCTTGTCTGGACTGTCTCCAATGCTCATATATCTTTGCTTAGATGAGGGGACCAAAACCAATCACCATATTTGCCTTCCCTATTATCCACTGAACTTGAATGCTAGATTTCTGTGATTCATGATGAGGATTCTCAAATCCCTGTTCTATAGCTTTCTGCAATTTTTCTCTATTTCTCTGAGGCCTATCTCTTCTTTTTTCCGTATTTAAAGTAGCAGTTACTATCTGATTTTATGTCATTTGTTAGTCTGCCTCATAGTTTATTTTCACCTGTTTTTGATGATCTTTTGTTGACTTTTAAAAATTTCCAATCCTCTGAGTTTCCACTAGTCTTCACCACATTGTATGTATTTTCTTTTCATTTTCACTTCCCTGGTTAACCATGATTGGTTTATTTCCTTGCTCGAAACTATTATCATTATTCCTGGGATATATCTTGGCTGTGAATCATAAACTATTTTATTAAATGTGTGCCATTGTTCCTCAGCCATATTTTCTGCTAAATGCCTTTCCCAGTTCATTCTAGTGAACTCTGCCATCATTTGTATGATATTATCCTTATTTAAGTTTAGCACAGTTGTTTTTGACCCAGGTTTCTCAATCGCAAACTGTGATGGTCACAATTCCCTTGGTATCTTTTTTACTCTGAGGTTATTTATTAAACCTGCAACATTACACATTGTAAGATCCAAAATAGTCTGATTGCCAGTTGGATACTCAACATGTTGTCTAATGTTCTTCAACAAAAATCAGATCTCATTGCCACAGATGGCTATGGAGCCCAAGTCATTGAGTGTCTTTATGATAGAGATAGGTTCTTAATTAATGAGGGGGATCGGAAGTTATGGGAAGAAGGCAGGAGACTGGGGTTGAGAAACATATCAACCATGAGAGAATGGTGGAGCAGCCTCAAACTTGTATTGCCTATTTCTGCTCCGATATTTTAAGGTCTTATGGAAACAATCCTGCATATACTTTGTGAATTTCTCCATGTGGCTACTATTGCCAATCTGAGATCCCCGATCTGCATAAAGATTGAAATCCCCCATGATTATTATACTGCCTTTTTTACATGCCATCTTGTACGCCTGATTAATTCCCTGTCGTATTGTACATCTTCTGAGAGAGGGTCCATGGACCGGTGTCTTTTTCCTTTTCTTATATCTTGCCTGTACCCACATGGATTCTACATCTTCTGATCCATGATCATTTCTTGTTATTGTACTTATTCCATCTTGTGCAAGCAAAGCCACCCCACCACTCTTCCCTTCCTATCTGCCTCTTTCAAAAAGTCACATGCCCCTAAATATTTAGTTCCTAGCTTTGATTCTTCATTACTGTTTCTTTATAATCCCTATAAGGTCATAACCATTAAAGTTTATTTGTACTGTTCATTCATTTAATTTATTTCAAATGCTATGTGCATTTACGTAAAAACCATTAATTTTGCCTTTTTGGTACCCCCTTTAACCATATTTGCTGCTGTATTTTTGCTGCTAATTGCATTACGGGGCCATTGGCAATGTCCTGAGAGGAGACTCCCAGGAATCTGACATGTGCTGCTTCTGTGTCTCAGCATGTAGTGGCCCCTTCTTACCTCCCTGAGAAGAAGTGGCCCTTGGAGGAAGGCCATGGTGCTTTGTTTCTTTTTGCAAAGCCACTACAGTGTGATGCCAGAATGCAAGCCAGTTACATATGAGTCAATTGCTCGACCTAGCAGGTTGCCAACCTCTCAATGGAGGAAGTTATGTACTCATATGCCTGAGACATACCAGAATGAAAGGGGTATATTCCTATTATAGGAAGAATATTATTAAATTGAAGGGTGTTCAGAAAGATTTACCAGGATGTTGCTGGAATGGAGGATTTGAGTTTTAAAAAAAATTCAGCTGGATAGGCTGGAATTGTTTTCACTGGAGAGTAGAAGGTTGAGGGTTGACGTTATAAAGGCTTATAAAATCATGAGGGCATAGATAAGGTGAATAGCAAAGGGTAGGGTAGGGAGTTCAAAACTGGGAGGCATATTTTCAAGGTGAGGGGGGAAAGATTTAAAAGAATGTGAGGGGACAACTTCTTTTACAGAGTGGTTCGTATATGGGATGAACTGATAGAAGTGGTGGTAGATGCAGGTACAGTTACAATGTTTAAGAGACATTTGAATAAGTACACAAATAGAAAAAGTTTGGCTGGATGTGGACCAAACGCAGATGGGTGGACGGGTTTAGTTTGGGAACATAGTCAATGTGGGCTAGTTGGACCAAAGGGACTGTTTCCAAGCTCTATGACTCTATGGGTAGACAATTCTAAAGATTCGCAATCCTTAGAGTTAAGAATTATCACCTTAGTCTGAGCCCTAGACAATCAGCTGTTTATATTGAGATTGTGCCTCCATATTTTAAAATATCCAAACAGGGAATCAAGATATCAGTGTCTAAACTGTAATCCTCCTTCAAAATCTTATGTTTCAGTGAAGAATGGTCAATACCTCAAGTGAATTCCAGGAAAGGCTGATGGAGATCAGAAACTATTAGATCCTACAGGATAGTAGGATACTTTTCAGCCAATGGGCAGACTGTTCTTTGTCATCCGTGATTATTTTGATGTTTTTATGTATGCATACATAAAGGATGAACAATACTTACTGTTGTTTAATTTTTTATAGGTCAGGATTCACTGTAGCTGAAGTTGAGCCACTTGGAGTCTTCCAACTTGCCCCCAATTCGAGGCAGGTCCATATAGAGGAAGATACAGGCACAATTACTTTACATATCCAGAGATTGTTTGGCTTCCAAGGCAATAAAACAAAACTGACATATTACACAACAGCAGGAAGTGCCAAACCTACTGAAGATTATGAGCACATCCAAAATGGAGAACTCATCTTTACTTTACATCAGATTGAAGCATTCATTAAATTGTTTATCATCAATGATAATATTCCAGAAATGGATGAAGTATTCTACCTAAATTTATCCAGCATTGAAGTTCTGGGTTTTGGGCCAAATAATACAGAGGCGAAACCTCACTTGAATCTAGACTTTAGTGTGTCATCTATAACCATTATTGCCAATGATGCCACTAATGGAGTTCTAAGTATTGGACCCACAGTAATACACACTTTAGAGGATACTGAGAATGCTACGATGCATGTAGTGCTTCTTAAGATTCAAAGAACACTGGGATTTACTGGGATCGTTGGTGCAAATGTAATAACGTTTGGAGGAAAAAAGGCCGCAGATGGTTTAGAAGAAAGTCCTTTCCAAAACGTCCAACAAAACTCGACTTTTTCCTGGGCCAGAGAAGGAGCAGATTTTGAAGATGAAACCTTGAATGTTACTTTACAGAATGAGCAAAGGGAGATCAGTGTATCTGTCAGGATCTTTGATGATAATGAACCAGAGGGACAAGAGTTTTTTTATGTCTACCTAACAGATCCTCGTGGAGGGGCAAGACTTGTGGAAGGAAAAGATGAATATGGTTACATGGCTTTTATGCAGATCATTATCTTAGGTACCTGAAATATTATTTATTGTGGCTTATGTTCAGTAAATATTACTGGCAGTTATGAACCAACGTTAGTTGCCCCATTTATAATATTCCCTCATTTCACTAAATTGTAGTTGTGCATATAATAGCTGTCAAAATGTGCAATATTATTCACAAAATCCAAAGCCACAGTCCAGATGGATCTGAACAAGGTGTATTGGACATTCACCTGCTGTTGTAGAAATTGTATCCAAGTTATTTTAAACCTTTGAACTTCATTAACATGTCTCCGGTACACTTCTTCAGAGATAGCAATACCTGCAGCATCTGGAGGCAGAGACAACACCGTATGAAGCTGGAGGAACACAGCAGGCCAGGCAGCATCAACATCAACTTTCCTGCTCCTCTGATGCTGCCTGATCTGCTGTGTTCCTCCAACTCCACACTGTATTGTCTCTGATACACTTCTTGCTCATTTTGGGCAGAAAGTAGCTTCTGGGCTGCAGGAAATTGGGCATTCATGAACTCATGTTGGTACTCGGGGAAAGTGTGGAGAATGAACCTCGACAGGGTCTTTACGGATAGGCAGTTTAAGGAGAATCGGGGTTTAGAGACTGGAACAGCAAGATAAAGACTATCCAATGAGTCTGAAGGAGCACTCCTACTTTGCATGTGCTAAAGAGGATCTCATTAGCTTTGAATGAATGGCTGATCTGTCCAAAAGCCTGCATAAAACTGCTGTTGACAGAATTTGGGTAGCTGAATACAGGGAAGTGACTTGGCAATTATAACTTGCCTAGTTTTGGACAAGAAAGTAGGATTAAAATCTTCCACAATATTGTGTAGATTTTGGGCTTTTAATTAAGATTTTCTTAAAAACATCAATGAATAATATTGCATCCTGGATTTACAACATTTCGTTTACTTTAAAATTTTGATTTTTTTTGGGAGGGTGTGGACTACTGTATTTCAAAAGGTGTCTAAAAATAAGTTAGCCAAATATGCATGATTTCATCACTTATGTATTGATTTCAGGATGGTAGAATTGTGCTCAGTTAATAGGTTATTTTGTCAACATGTGCAAAACAGTCAGAACTTTATCTGTAAGAGTTTTTGTAATTCACTTTGAGGCGTATATTCTGCTCCTGTCTTTACAAGCCAAGTGTAATGAAAGCACAGATTGCACACAAACGCCTTGAACTTTAAACACATTGTGGATAGCGTTGTGCACCTTGGCATCATTCCATGTTGCAAGCTTTGGTTGAAATCAAACACATTCCTCATAGCTTAGGCTTGCATGATGCCTTCCTGATTGCGCCCTTTGATGAAGGCACAAGCATGTTATAAATAGCTGGGAGAAAAGAAATGCTTCCAGGTTTTCTGAAAGTTATGCAAAGATCTGGTCAGGCTTTTTTCCCTTGGTCAGTTTCCTTATTATGTTATTATGTGCTGACCTTCTTTTCTTGTCTACATTACATTTATATTTAAATTTAAACTTCTAATGTGTTTTATTTATTTTCTCCCTTATTTAGCTGTTTGCAGTATGCAGCGGGCATCATTCCTAGAATTAGTGCTTTTTCAAAACTCCTTTTGGCTCCCAGAAGCTAGTGGATTTCAGAGCTCTTCTATTAGGGCTGGGTTTGGGGTTGAAATTTGTAGAGTACATGAGGTCCTGTTGGAGTTCCTTGGGCATGTCAGACAAGAGGCACATTTGATGATTTTGATCAGCAAACTCTTTCTGCAGGTTTATCCTATCATAGTGACATGAGGTGCATCACCAGAAATTTCATCAGAAGAGGTTGGTAGTTTGAAAGGTCTACTTGTAGAAAAACAAAAATAATTATACAACTCACATTTATAATAGGAATATCAGTAAATGACTGTGCATTTTACAGATGAGATATGGTAAGGTTGGCCTTCATTCCACTTTGCATCCTGAAGGTATGCCTATCAGAATAAGAGTACACATACAATACAAAGCAGAATCTGTACAACTGTGTGAAAACTTCATATGAATAAACTAGACGGGCATGTACAACACATTTTGAGAATCTATTGCATGCTGTCACTGCCTCTAGATGTCTCAAACTCCTTCAAATGATATTGAACTCCCCTGTAACACCTATTAGGGATGGCATCCTCTGTGGAGGATGGCCCTGCAGTGTCATATTGGATAAACTTTCTCACACTCACCTCATCGAGCTGCATATTCAACAACATCATAGGGAAGGGGCTCAATGCTCCAGAATTAGAATTTGACGTGCCTCTTTTTGTTTTACTTTTTATCTGTTGCTTTTTGCTCAACAACCTCTGGCAATGGCCGATATATGATTTTGGAAAAAAAAAATGAATGAACTGTAGATGCTGTAAGTCAGAAACAAAAACAGAAGTTGCTTTAAAAGCTCAGCAGGCCTGGCAGCATCTGTGAAGAGAAATCAGAGTTAACGTTTTGGGTCCAGTGACCCTTCCTCAGGACTGTTCCATTACTGGGAATGGGTTTTAATTGAATTTGGACTTAGCATTTAGGTGCAGTTTAGAGCACTGGTTTAACAGTTCCTAAAGTTAGAACAAAACAATTCTTATTTTCTTCCTGGGTTGGATGTAAACCCAGCCAAAGCAAATCAATGCAGCATGCATTCCTCAAACCTGCTTTTATTTTGAAAAGAATTTTAAATTGTTTCAGTTTGATGTAATTACGTTATTTAGCTGTCATATATTTTCAATGCAGGAAGTGACATACAGAATGGCATTTTTGGTTTTACATGGGTCGCCCCAAGTAACCTAGTGTTGGATGAAGACTCTGAACATAGGAAGCTTCAGCTAACTGTTGAGAGACAAAGAAACAGGTACAATTTTAATGAATAAAAATGATCTTCATCTTTACATGCTAAGATAGAGTAGCACCATAATGAAATCAAATATCTCTAACACTAACTGGGAGTTAATAGGCAAATTTTGGCCTTGATGGGCTTTGGTTGGACAGTATGAGTATAGAATGCATTGACTGGACAAAGTTTGGGGCTTGGAGTTGTTTAATCCTCTGGCCTCAACGCAGTGCCACCAATCAAATCCCACACAAAAACAATGATAAGCCATAGTTAGCATGTAAACAGGATAAGATATTAAGCAGGCCAGAGAGCACTGACTGTCACAAAAGAAAGGGTTGTGTACAAGTAGGGAAGTGACGATAAAAATTGTTTTGGCTGGTCTTGTAAAAGGGAAGAGAGGGGACATTGGGGAGTTGACTTAAGGAAATTGACAAACACTGAAAGAACATGTCAAAGAAGATGCAGAGCCACGTTAGTCTGGTGGGAAAATCACAGCTGCTTCGAAGTTGGGCTGAATGTGCAGTCAGAGTCATTCAGATGTAATTGGATATTCATTACATAGGTGCTTTGTTTGGGCAGGCTCCTTGACCGTCTGTACAAGTATACAGGTTAAATATTTAGAAAGGATTGTGATATGAGCTTTTGAATGGATACTTTCTTTAACTGCCTTTATTAATTATGGGTGGTTCATCCTTCTCATCAAGCACTTCTTTTTGACCAGGATAAATCGTTGCTGAACATTATGAAATATCTGCTTAATTACCTGCCACTGCTTATCTACTCAGACTAATTTCCTAGCCCACTTTAGACAACTCTTTCTCAATGCCTCTAACTGCACTTACTTAAATTGACGACACTGGTTTGTGACCCAAGTTGATCTTCCTCAAACTGAATTTGAAATTCCATCATCTTGTGATCACAACCCCCTAAAGGTCCCTTAACTATGAAAACTAATATAAATTCTATGTCATCACATGTTAGTTGATCTACAATAGCTTGTTCCCAGGTAGATTCCAGGTCATCGTCATCATGATCTTCAGGTGCAGTTGTGGTTGCAGGGTTAGGGCAAAAAATAGTTAATCCAGAAGTGGATGACTGTGGTTCATCACCTTCTGACTGTTTCTTGGGGGTTGGCTTTAAAAAAAAGACATCCAGTTTTTGCTGTTTTGCCCTTTTTCCTCTCTCATGAAAGATAACAGATAAGCAAGATGGTAATGGTAGGAAATATCTTGTAATAGTTTCTGTCACAAGGTACAAAGTATTTGGCAAACTGATGGGACTAAGGGTGAACATATCACCAGGACCTGGGGGTCTGCATCCAAGGATTTTGCAAGAAGTAGCTGCAGAGATAGTGGAGGCAGTGGTCAAAATATCGCAGAAATTATTGGATTCTGGGAGGGTTCCAGCAGATTGGAAAACTGTTAATATAATGCTCTGTTTCAAAAAGGGAGCGAAACAGAAAACACAAAACAAATATCTCTCATTGGGAAAATGCCACAGTCCTTATTAACGAAGAGCTAACCGAACATTTTGAAAAGCTTAAATGTAATCAAGCATGGTCAGCATGGTTTCGTGAAAAGGAAATCATGCTCGATAAATTTGTTCGTTCTTGTTGGGGATATACAAGCAGAGTTGACAAACGGGAATTAACAGATGTATTGTATTTGGATTTCCAGAAAGTACTTGATATGCCACAAAAATGGTTTGTGTGTCTTTTAATGGCTTATTTAATTGGTCTTATTCACATTGGAAGGACCTGGCTAGTGGAATGCCGCAAGGATCAATCCTAGGACATCAATTTATTTACTATCTATATTACTGACTTGTGATGTAAATTTGCCAATAGTGCTATGGGCATGTTGCAAAGACAACATAAGGAACATGCATAAGTTAGGTGACTGGGCAAAAACATGGCAGGTGGAGTTCAATATAAGAATGTGAGAGAGCATGCACTTTGGTAGGAAGAATCAAACAGCAGATTATTACTTAAATGAAGAGAGACACCAAAAAAGTGTAATGCAGAGGGACCTGGGTGCTATAATTAAGAAGTCATATGGAATTTGGCCTTGTTGCCAGGGAGTTGTGAAAAATAAAAGGGAAGCCTTGTTACAGCTGGACAGGGTGTTGGTGAGGCTACAACTTGAGTACTCTACAGTTTTTGTCCCTGTATTTGAAAAAAAAATTGGCTTTGGAAAAGATTCACTTGGCTGGTTCCTGGAATGAAGGGCTTGACTTATCAAGGGTGAATAAATGAGCCAGGCCTTTATTCATTTGAATTTAGAGGAATGAGGGGTGGTCTTGTTGAAACATACAAGATTCCGATGATGCTTGACAGGATAGATGTTGAGAATGTAGTGTGGAAATCTTGAACTGGGGAACATAGCTACAGAATAAAGGGACACTGATTTACAACTGAAATTCAGAGGAATTTCTTCTAAAGGAAAGTCAATATCTGGATCTATAACTCAGAGTGGCAAAGCTAGATATTTAAGTATTTAAAGAGGAAGTTGATAGATTTTTGAAATATCAGGGAAGTAAGTGTTTTGAGGAAATGGCACAAAAGAGAAGTTGAGGCCTGGCGCATAGTCATCAAGATTTTATTGAATAGCAAGATAGGCCTGAGGGGCCAAATTACGTACTACTGCTCCTATTTCATTTGGTCTTTTGGAAAAGTTTTGAAGGGCAGACATTTCTGGGAAAGAAAATTAGATTGTTCTGCTGAGGATCATGTGAACTGCCTCCCCAGATTTCTGTCCAGATGGTGAAGTTAAAAATCTACCTGATCTTATCGTCTGAGCCTTATTCACTTTCATGTTCATGGAGGGAAGTTGATCCAAGTGTGTGATTTTGTTAAAAGATGTTCCAGTGTTAAGAAACTAATTACTTTACCCCAGATATTGCATAGCTGACATTTATCTTGCATTTACAGATCTTTTGAGGACGTGAAGATTTTGTGGCGTGTGACGTTTAATAAATCAGATGTTGTACTACAAAGTAATGAGGTAGATCTGGTCAGTGAGCTGACAGCTATATCGGGAATGACCCATTGTATTAGTGGAGAGGTTGAATGTACTATCGTCATTGAAATCAAGCCAGACAAGGTTAGTATCAAGAAAGACACTGCTACTTAAATAACTACTTGTAAGGACACTGTTCGAGGAAGTTTTTCTCTTTATGAACTGGACGTTGACTTTTGAGCAGCCAAATTGGAGTTAGTCTGCTGTCCATTTTGTTGATGAAGTAACCCCATGATTTTAAGGATCAAACCCCATTTAAATTTTCCAGGTAAGTTCCAGGACATTAAGTAGCCTTCCTAATGCAATTCAATGCTGGAATAAACCCTGAAAATCAAATCAGCAAGGCATACTGAAGCGTGGTACCTTGACCTGGACTGTGAGTATCCCAGATTAATTTTTGAACTTTGAAAGTGTACTCCTGCTCCTCTTGAGCTCTCAAATAATTCAAGAGTTACCTTCATGGGGTCATTTCTCGACACTTTCCCATGGAATGAATCAAAGATAGAACTATACAGGTTCTGATCACTTTCCATCTAAACTGGTAATCATGGTACTATTACATTATTGCTTGTTGTTGTCATTTGACGTCGAACCTTTGTTTGAAACAGAATGTCATTGTGGCTGCTGGCCTCACCTCTTCCCGCCCCACAGTGGTTACCCCTTGTAAAATGGAGTGGGTTGCACTGTTGGTGCTATAGGAGCAGTAAAGCCAATTTGATGTTGTTCCTCACACGTGCCTTCATACATTCACTCGCTCTTGCTCACACTCTCTCTCTTGGGTTAATGATGTACACCAAAGTGCTTGGAGTGACATAAATACGTGTGCATTTCAAGCTTGAAGCACCGTCCCAGCTCGAGCATGATGCCAACAGAGGCCTGAACCTATCAGGAACTTATGCTTGGAAGTGGGTATTCTTACGTTTAAAAGCACAATCTAGTAATGAGATAGTAACAAGAGGACGCACCTTAGCAAGAGAACCTCAGTAAAGATGAGGAAACTATTTTACACAATGTTGCTGTGATCTGGAATTCACTATCTGAAAGAGAGATGGAATCAGATTACATAAAATTTTCACAAGATTATTGGCTCAAAGATTAAAGGAGCAATAATTGAAATATTAAAAGGATAGAGTCAGACAATGAATTTAATGAAAACCAAAAGAACTGCAGATGCTGTAAATCAAGAACAAAAACAAAGTTGCTGGAAAAGCTCAGCAGGTCTGGCAGCATCTGTGAAGGAGAAAACAGAGTTAACATCTCGGGTCCGGTGACCCTTCCTCAGAATGAAATTAATAGGATGAGTGTACCACAGAATCACATTGAACTGAACAGCCTTCTTCTGTATTGTATAGGTCTGGAATTAAGAGTCTAATGATGACCAGGAATCCATTGTCGATTATCAGAACAATCCATCTGGTTCACTAATGTCCTTTAGGGAAGGAAATTGCCATCTTTACCTGGTCTGGCCTACGTGTGACTCCAGACCTACTACAATGTGATTGACTCTTAACTGCCCTCTGGGCAATTAGGCATGGGCAATAAATGCTGGCCTAGCTAGAGACATCCACATCCTGTGAATGAATAAAAAAAATGAATTTTACCATGGCTAAATTAATAGAAAATGGGGCTGGATCCATGCTCCTAGCGGAAAACCTTTGGTCAGCAAGTTTACCAAAGCTGCTCTCCCTGGAGCTTCTGCTCCCCCATGACCAAGGCATGCACCAAAACTGGCCCAAAGGAGTGAAATAGAAACCTTTATATGTTTGATGTGGGTGACCTGACAAAAGGTGCAATGTTGAAGTTAACATGCTTGTAACATTGTTAATTTTTTAACATAAGAGTATCAAAGAAAGATAATTTTCCATTAATTCATTCTGTCTATTTGCATTTAAGATGTGGGGGTGCTGATGTTGGACTGGGTGGACAAGGTGTTGTGTTACTTCTGCTCAGGTTATAATCCAACAGGTTTATTTGAAATCGTAAGCTTTCAGAGTGTTGCTCCTTCGCCAGGTGATGTGAAGAGGAGCATATAGGCACAGAATTTACAGGCCGAGAGATCAAACGATCGGCCAGATGATGTGAGTGGAGTGTCAACATGCTGAATAATAAGTCTCTGCCGATGATCAAGAGTGTCAAACGATTTCGGATAAACCTGTTAGACTGTAACCTGGTTTCATGTGACTTCTGACCTTATTTGCATTGAAGCCCATAATACTCAAAGGGGACTTGTGGAATCTTTTGCAATGGTAGCAGGAAATACATAATGCAGTAACAAATAATAAAATATGAATTTTGTTTCATTAACTGTCTGATACCGTCATTGTTTATTGCATCTTAACTGATGAATATATGATTGATATGTTGCTCATGAACTCTCAAGAATAATTTAGATTTTTGTCTTTGTCTCAGTTGGAGCATGGGACAGTGAAATTTGCATGTTTCCTGTTGTGTTTAATTAAAAGTCCCTTTATGTTAGTACAACTGACAACTTAATTTTGATGTTAAAGTTACATTTAATTTTTAGACTGCCATTATGTTTTATTGTGTCACTTAAGCAATGACTCACATTGCGCTGTGAAAAGACTGGGCAATGTTTCTTACATACTAACCATTTTCGAATGCTGCTCTGCAGATCCCAGAATCTGAAACATGGTTTTTTGTGGAAATCTATGAAGTCAGTGCTGGAGCCATGATAAATAGCAGTGCTCGATTTTTAAACATTACCATTCTGGAGAGTGATATGCAGCACAAGCTGATCTTTTTCGCTGTGGGATCTCGGCTTCCTGTCATTCATCAAAAGGCCACATTTGTCAGTCTGCAGGTCATCAGGGAGGCTGGTACAAATGCAGTTGTCAGTGTTGGCTATCATACACAGGTGAGAACTATTGTGGAAAAAATGTTTTTAAATCTGATGCAGTAAGTTATTTTGTGATGAACAGTCATCTTATCAATTATAAAATACAGTTAAAAGTTGAACTTTGAGAAAACCTTGCGGCTATAATCATGTGCTCTTAATGATTCCATATAGTACAAGAATAATTTAATCTATAATGACATTCATGTTATTTGAGTGATCATCTTTTCTGAACAAAGGCATTTCTAAAATCTTTGGATAAAAAACAAATAAATCTGCAAGAATCAGTTTTTGGTGTAATTAATTGTTAGATTCTCGTGGATGAGTCTTTTTAACATTTTTTTTTCCCTTTAAAGGTTGCATCTAGCCACTCCTGGCCCATTACATTTCTTGTAAGCGGGTAGTTTGTTTCTCCAGTTGCTTCATCCAAGGGCAAGAATGAACTAATTTACTGTGCCACTAAGTATTGTAATTTAAGTAGCATTCCAGTTTTCCCCGGTCCTAGTCTTAAGGTTCTGAGAAAGAAAATGAAATACAGAAAAACAAAATAACATTCACAAAGGATATGTATGATTGATGGAGACCTATTGGCAAAATTGTTGAAAAGAGTAACAAGATTAGACAGCACAAAGAGTAGTTATGCAGGCATGAAGTATGTACACATGAGATACATATATACAAGGGAGATGGATCCACAGAGATTTACTTCATGTGTGTATTCAGCATTGTCTCTATCATCCTTTAAAAGGTTATTTTCCTAATCTTTGTAATGTGTTCCTTGCTCTTTGATTCCCCCTGGAAAAGTGCTCACTTGGTAAGATCTTTGTTTATCTGGTGAAGTTAAGGTAATTGGCTGGAATTATAGTTCCCTCTTCCACCAGGTTGGTGTCAGACAGTCCAACTATCCTTGGGCTACTGAAGGGTCTCCTCTGCCACTGCTGGTATTTTAACAGAGAGATATCTACATCACACAGCAAGAGTGCCAGATAAACCCTAGGTGCCAAACAGTGAGCTGGTGAGGAGATGCCACTTGTTTACGTACCCTGTGCCAACAGGAGTCCCCACTTCTGGGGATTTGCTCCCACTTGCCCCCATCCACCCATGCCACCTATTTGTGGATATAATCCTTCGCACCAGGGCCTGACAGGTCTTGCGAAATTGCCAGACTTGCCTCCAGCTTCCAGCAGGAGTTTTGGTGAGGCATATGTTGCAGTTCCAGCTGTAACCAGCCCACTTGGAGTGCTGCTGGGACTGGAGAGCAGCAGGTCATCTGATTGGCTATCCAGTCTCAGAGGCAAGACTTCCTCCCAGTTGGCAAGGAAATCATGACCTGCACTAATTTATGTTAGACAGGTATAAGTTGAACTGGAGATTTCTGTTCATTTAGAAATGGGCTCAGTCCTGACTATTCAGTCATGTGGTATGGTCACCACTTCCATTGGTTTCCTACCACACAAGTTACAATCTGTTTTCTGTACTGGGAATAATTTCTGTCTGCAGATATATACAGTTTATTGAAATCAGAAAGTTTTTTTCTGTGTTTATAAATGCATAAGAGATGAGCAAAAACAATGCAATTTATTTTGGAAAAGATGAATTGTAAATAACATCTCTAAATCTTTCCACTATAAGGAGTTACATAGATCATAGAATCCCTACAGTATGGAAATAGGCCCTTCAGCCCAACAAGTCCACACTGAGCATCCCACCCAGACCAATCCCCATAATCTGTACATCCCTGAACACTACAGGCAATTTAGCATGGCCAAACCACTAACCTGCACATCTTTGGACTGTGGGAGGAAACCAGAGCACCCTGAGAAAACCCATGCAGACACAGGGACAATGTGCAAACTCCACACAGGCAGTCACCTGAGGTTGGAATTGAACCCTGGCCCCGTGAGGTAGCAGTGCTAACCACTGAGCCACCGTGCCAATTACATTTGATCTTTATCAATGGAATGGAGTGCTTGCTTATTCATTCCTGCCATTTAAGTATTGCTGATCACCAGATTAGCATTCAGACAGTGAGATGAAAATTTACTTCAGTGAGAGGTAATATTTGTCAGTGAGATATTTCTGAATAAAACAGAACTAATTGGCAGCACAGTGGCTCAGTGGTTAGCATTGCTGCCTGACAATGCCAGGACCAGGATTCAATTCCACTCTTAGATGACTGCCTTTGTGGAGTTTACACGTTCTCCATGTGTCTGTGTGGGGTATTAGTGTTCTAGTCCAAAGATGTGCAAGTTAGGTGGATTAGTCATGGGAAATACATGGTTACAGGGATAGGGCAAGGTGTGGGTCTGGGTGGGATGCTCTTTGGAAGGTTGGTGTGGACTCAATTTCCACTCTGTAGGGATTCTTTCTTTCTAAGGGTAGAAACCAGTAGAGATAGGCTGCCCTTGAATAAACATTATTCAAACTCCCTTTGTCCTGTTCATAAAATTCTAGGCTGGAAATTTTTTTGTGCAGTGACATGTTGTGGAATCAGAACCGAGGGCGAAAACCTTTCCACTTCACTGTCTGTTTGCTGAACAACCTGCCAGTGACCAATCAATTAGGGCCACGAGGCGAAATAACTGATGACTTGGCATCTGGAGAGGGACATGATGCAGTTGACCATACTATCACCTGACATGGAAGGTGGTGCTGGTGCCATGTTTCAGGGATCGCCAGCAACCAAACCCTGAATGCAGCTGAGTCCAGCAGGAAACCCATAGTCTGTGAGCAGTCGTCATCTACAGGAGACCACCCCTTCATTTTCAGCTGCAGGCTACTTCTCAGTCTCACAACATAGAAACAACCGTTCTTCCTTCAAGCAAGGAACCTGAATCAGCCTCGGACAAACTGCTGCCACCAATCCAGCTAACCACTAGGCATTTAGAACCCATGTTCTCATCTACTTTGAGATGAGACATTGCGGATCTCTTGGCACTTTGACACAGATTGCATTTCTATCATGAACATCGTGTGGTCCTCATTTGCATATCACAGAAAGTGGTGGATGAAGGAATCAGTGTTTTAGCAGAGGTGAGCGAGTGAATGCTTTGAGTTTGGAGGTAGAATTTTCTGAATGGATACAGTGATAAAGCCATGCCTAGATTCTGTACCGTCTGTGTGCTCCCTCATGTATGTCAGGATGCTGTGGTTGCTGGAATTCTGGAAAAAGAAAACTCGTAAGAGCAAGAGAAACTTAGCAGCATCTGTGGGGAGCGAAAAACAGTGTTAATGAAGATAATTCTTTGAAGTTTAGAAGAAAAGCCATGTTGGACTTGGAACATTAACTCTATTTCTCTCTCCACAGCTGCTATGGTTCCTCTTTGGCTTCTTCATTGACCTCCTGGTTATGGGAAAGCCTCACACTCTGTGTTCAGCAGTCAGGCCTTCCTCCCTCTTCAGTCCCAGGTTGTCAAAAGCACACCAGGCCGCCACAATCCAGGAACCCCTAGCTGGGCCATATTGATGATCATCATCACAGTTGGTTTATGTACTTGAGTCTGTTTTTGAGGAGAGAGTGCTTGATGATGATTCTGGGTCTCACCGTGGCTCACATTATGGTGTTTCTCTGTCTCAGTCCTTGATTTCCTCAGTAGTCCATTCAATGGGTATACGTTGTCAAATTACTAGACTTAACTTTCTGTGGCAAATTTAAGAGGCAATAAATGTGCAAATGCAACAAGTCATGAAAATCACAATTAAAGGCAAGATGCAGTTTTTGCAGAGCGAATGGGGAATTCACACAAAAATTGATCATCTGTGAATTACATTTCAAGAGGTATCACCTTACAACAATTTTTTGAGAAATTTTGTCATTAGTGGTGATGTGTGTCATTGAGATGCCACTAATATGTCAGCAAATGCTAGCTCTTTTTGTTATGTTTCTGTTATAATGGATTTACGATTTCATTAATTTTTATTCAAAAAGCACTAATTGTAGATAGAGCTATTAAAGTTATGAAATAATTATATGAAACAATAACAAATACATTTTGGAACAACAGGAGAAATAATTATTTAGTTTCTTGACTCAGTTCAAACAAATGATCTTATTTTGTATTCAATTTGTATTTTATAGGAATTAAGAAGGGCTGAACTGGTAGGCCAAACCTTAGTGATGCCAGCTATTGCAGGGATGGATTTTGTAAAGTCGGAAGGCACTTTAACTTTCCAACCAGGGCAGTCGAGTGTTCCATTGGACATTCTCCTAACTCCAGAATTGGCATCTTCAAATCCATTGCCAAAGCGATTTCAGGTTGTGCTCTACAATCCAACTGCAGGAACTCAGCTGGATAAGAATTACAACATAGCAAACATCACAATAGTTACAGATGCTAACTCTCAGTTCTTCTGGGGTTTGATTGATCAGTTATACCAACCCTTGGATAATGATTTGATAAACGAAATTCTTCAGAAACTGCAAAGCAAGATTAACATAGAGGCCACAGGAGAACAACTCAGTGCAGTAATGGAGGTGTTAGAAAAGGTAAACTTACAATTTCAGATGATCATTTATTTGAAATGACTTTAATATCGAGTGCACTTTATTTATTCCCACTTCAGTCATTGATATTACTGGCTAAGCCAGCATTTATTGTCCATTTTTAATTGCTTTGGAGAAGATGGCAGTGAGCTGTCTACTTGAACCACAGTGATAATTGAGGTGTAGGGACACTTGTGGTTTTAGGATGGGAACTCCAGGATTTTAACCCAGTGACAGTGAAATGTAGAAAGTAGGTGCAGGAGTAGGCCATTTGGCCCTTTGAGCCTGCACCACTAAAATGTGGTGATATTTCCAACTCAGAATAGTGTGTGACTTGGAAGTGAAATTGTAGGTGCTCATGTCCTCATGCATCTGTGGCCTTTGTCCTTCTAGGTGGTACAGGTCCAATGTCTGAAAAGTGGTATTTGGAAGAGCTTTAGTGGTTTTTTTTGATGGTACACTGTTGCCACTGTGCATCAATGATGAAGGGAATAAAGGCTGAAGGTGATGAATGGGATGCCAATTGTCTTAAGTAAAAGAGTAAAAACATTTTTCAAGATGCCAACACTAAGAACAAAAACAGCTGAGAAAACTCAGCGGGATAGGCAGCATCTTTGGAGAGAAGCAGAGTTAATATTTCAGAGCACTGACTTTTCGTCAGAACTTGTTCGTGTTAATTCTCACAAGTTTGATTATGACCATGTGAACCTGAGTCAGCAGTACAACTAAATTTGTATGCTTTGTGGAGTAATTATGTACATTACAGAGAGGAAATTGTAATAGCTTATAATTTTACCTTGGCATAAATGACATAGATAGCTGTAACCAAATGGTATATTCGGTCAAAATCAGTTCTACTTAATTATCACATTGACTGTCTCCTGATAATTTCCAACAGATTCTGGAGGTGTTGGTGGAATGAGAAGAAATTTATATTTTTTCGAGTTGCATCTTATCAATCTTGCATTTTGTGAGACAAGCTTTTTTTTTTAAATAGGAGCTATTTAAAGAGAAAATAATCATGTAGCTTAATGTAAATGTAGATAATGGACATATTCTGCTTGAAAGATTTTTTTGTGCAAAATACTACATTCTCCACTTCTTAGCCCTCAATAGCCAGTGCTGTCTTGAGACCAAGGACACTACAGGCCTGGTTTATGACATCTTTTATGTGCTTCACTTATACCTGCTGTGCTGAACACTGATTTATTTAGCCTTTCGATTGTGAAAGTCCTTTTAGAATTTCCATTTTGCCTGACATACTTGGAGAAAGATTCTGTCCAGTAATACTTTTTCCGTTATTAGTTTTTTGAGTCAGAATTTAATGGATTAATTTATTTACGATCCATTAGGTGATACAGGAAGGAGAGAAGAAGCCAATCAGTGACACCAACAGAGAGTTACTTTATAATAATCTTTGTGCGCTACTAGACCCTACACGCAAGGATACTAAAGGATTTAGTCAACTGGCAGAAGTGACTGAGAGGTTTGCCTTCTCACTGCTCACTGACATAGAATGTGGATCACCTGGTGAGAGGTAAAGTTACGAATGACTAATGAGATTTTATTAGATTAATGAATAAAGCAATAACTGCTATTTGCATCCATCCAGGGATTGAATATAATGCTTTGGGTACAAAATGAATTAGCAACATTTATTAAATGACAACAGGGAAACATATCATAAAGAGGAAACAGAAATGTCAGGAAAATCGTAAATCATTTTTTAGCTTAAAGCGTTCTTTAACTAAATGAAGAAGGAATGTTAGGCCTATTTGTCATTTTTCCTGGAGTAGGAATGTCATGTAGTCATCAGATGCCCACTACAAAATATGATCAAATTAAAATTTCAGAATAGGGTGGGCATTGTGTTCACTGCAAAATGGTGTTCGTGAAAAATTAGATTTGTTTTGGGATTATGAGCACCGGAAAATCAACAACATATTGAGCTCTTTTTCCAGTTTGTTTACAGCAGGAACTAATTTTTTTTTCTCCTTGTGATTTTTGTTTGAAAACAAACTCAAGTCTCTGTAATGTGAAAAGGCCATATGTTATTTTGTTTTGGCTTTATAAATCATTTGACTAAAAGAGCAAATTATTTCTTAATCTAACATGATTATAATGCAGAAAATGATCTGGCAAACCTACAATAATTTGCTTTAAGATTAAATAGTTTATCAGTAATTACAAGTACAATGCAACTTTGGTGATGGTGCAAACGGAGTGGTAGTAGCATGGTGACATACACCTTGGTCGATCTTCCTCTCTTTTGAAGTAGGTAGATAACAATATTGAATGTGTTACACAATCATCAGCTGAACTGCTACAAATTCCCATTTGCACCACAGCTGAAATTGAAGTTTCCTTTACAAATCTTTGAAAAATTCATTATAAACATTTTTAAGGATAAAATATGGAATTTGTAACACTGTTAAACATTCAAAACATTATAGAATCTCAGTTGACCTTATTCACTCAAAATATACATGCTTGTAAATATTGCTAAAAAGGCACAATTTTGTCACAGCAGTTAGCAAGAAGATTTTTTGAAATTTTATACTGAATAACTTAATTGGGATTAGAATGATTATGACATTCTGATTTGATTCTAGATCAGGTTGGCACCTTATCAAAAAAACGCACAGAAACATAATTAAGTTCTATTGAAATCATAATTCAACTATTATGTAATCATCCTTTAGTGGGATTTCAGTTGAAAAGAATCCAAGGTAATTTAGGCTTTGGAATATAACAAAAGGAAAGTTCATGTTTCACTACTCAAAACTGTCAAAAGCCAAGATTCTGACAAAATTAGCTTCCATTTCTTGAGTTTTCTGTGTACTCCTATGTGAGGGGTTACTAAAATTGTATCAAACATGGGTACAATCAATTTATATATAATCTCCATTGTTCACTGTTTAAGTTAGGTTTATCTTCTGTAAATGGCTAGGTCCAAAGTAAGATGGTGCTTCATTTCAACATGTGAAATAGGCTGATGGTGAAATTGGGGAAAACTTGCTAGAGGAGTGTAGAAATAGAGTGTAGAAATAACCATGGATATACTCTCAAAGTTGTCCCTTGCTCTACTAAGGGATGGTTTTAAAAACACTCAGCTTCTCTGGAGAGCAACGTTGAAGTCAAAATGTGTAGTTTAGGACCATGCTAGACTCCAGTTTTGCATTAAACAGTCCATTTCTCTTTCTGTTTGAAGCCAGAAGTTTTAGCTTGTTCACCTGTCACTGCCTAAAAACATCAGTTGTTTCTAACTATTGTTCTTTTTATCCATCAGACTGAAAATAAAATATATACATGTTTTAATCTGGTCTCCAAAGTAATAAATTATCCAGTCACTTCCTTCCTTGTTTCCCATTTTCTTGGAATTTTGTGGAAATAAATTTCTGCCATGCCAACTTGTTCCTTTGTTAGCTGTAGAAAAGTCCTGAGGAATTGCAAATTGGTTTTATTTGTACTATGGAATTGGAGAAGCTAACACAGTTTGCAATTCCCCTTTTGAAAAAAGTCTTAAAAGCCACAGTGCAATAAACCTTCTACTTTTTGTCTTGACCTATTCATTTGTACATGGAAGGTAAACTACTTACAATGGGACAACAGTTCATGCTCAAGTTCAGACAGATTAACTTTTCAAATCTTAGAATATGTATAAGATTAGTCACAGAATTTTCCAAACGAATTAAAATTGCACAAGCAGAATACACTCAGAATGATCTAACTTTTGTTTTTGTTTTGTTGCTATGGAAAAGAAGCTGATGATTGGGTCTCCTTCCTCCATTAGCTATTACTTGAAGCATGAAGATTTTACGTAAATATTGACCAACGGCTATAACATTTCCATTGATGATTTCAAAGTGCTATTTACCAAGAAATTGAAGGTTGTCATTGGGATAGCATAATCATAGAGATTCAAGATGACATGGCAATTTATCTGATATCAAAAAGCCTTTCAGCATCTTCCATAAATTAGATGCAGTTCAACAGACCTAGCATGCTGATTAGATTGTCCAAGCCTGGCAAAATCTCTCATGAGCTGTGCAATCTGATTTCTTTATTCAAAGTTATTTACTCAATACTTTTGCAGTGTGTTAAAGCAGAATGCTTAAAAATGTTCTAACCATTTGTGTGTAATTTTGTTCAATTTGCACAAAATGACTTGAGAAAAGAGTGCATGCCTCCTATTTATATAGGAATTCATTCAAACTCTTTGCTGTGTTAGTCACTCATGATCTGTTTCAATAGGGTTCAAGTCTAGTAACTTGAGGTTGGTTGGCTCGCCGAGCTGGTTTGTTGTTTTGCAGATGTTTCGTTACTGTGCTTGGTAACGTCCTCAGTGCAGCCTCCAATGAAGCGTCGGTGTGTTTTCCTGCCTGGTTTTTAAACTCTGGGGTACATTGAAATGGATTGCCTCACTTCCGGTTTTCCTTCGTAGTGGAATGTATATGGGGTTGAGTTCAATGTGTTTATTAATAGCATGCTTTGTGGAGTGCCATGCTTCCAGGAATTCTTGTGCTTGTCTCTGCCTAGCCTGTCCCAGGATCTTGGTGTTGTCCCAGTCGAAGTTGTGGTTCTCCTTGTCCATGTGGATTGAGATGAGTAACCTCAACACCCACAACCCGAGCTACAGATCTACTCCAAAACCTTAGAGCCTAGCACCTTAACTAAAGTTATAACAAACTTTCTGTCAGTGATTTTACAGAAGTATTGGAAAAGTCAGAGGAATGGGGCCAAGTGTTTAGCTTTTTGTTAAAGTATTCTTCAAATGTGGGTGATACTAGCAAGACCAGCATTTATTGTCTACCTCAAAGGAAATATTGGTGGGCGGCATTCTTGAACTGCTGCAGTCTGGGTGCAGGATGCACAACCATGGTGTTGCCTGTGAGGGTGTTTCAGGATTTGGACCTAACAGCAGCAAATGTAGAAATCTAGTTTCAAGTCATAAAGTCATACTGCATGAAATATACACTTCAGTCTAACTCGTCCTTGCTGACCAGCTTTTCCAAACTAAACTGGTTCCCCTTACCTCTATTTGGCCCATATCCCTCTAAACCTTTCCTATTCATATACCTATCCAAATGTATTTTAAATGTTCTAACTGTACCTGCATCTATCACTTCCTGTAGCAGCTCATTCCATATACGCACCACCCTCTGTGAAAAAGTTGTCCTTTAGGTTTCTTTTTAAATCTTTCCCCTCTCACTTTAAACCTATGCCCTCTAGTTTTGAACTCCTCTACACTAAGGAAAAGACCTTTGCAATTCACCTTCTCTGTGCCCCTCATGATTTTATAAACCTCTATAAGTTCACCTCTCAATCTCCTACACTCCAGGGAAAAAAGCCCCAACCCATCCAGCCTCTCCTTATAACTCAAACAATCCAGTCTCAGTAAGATCCTTGTAAATCTTTTCTGCACCATTTCCAATTTAATAATATCCTTCCTACAGCAGGGCAACCAGAATTGTACTCCAAAAGTGACTTCAACAGACTCCTATACAACTGCAACGTGACATCCCAACTCCTTTAATCAATGCTGTGACCGGTGAAGGCAAACATACCAAATGCCTTCTTCCCCACCCTGTCTACCTGCAGCTCCACTTTCAATGAACAATGTACCTGAACCCCTAGGTCGCTCGAGGTGTTCAAGTCAGAATGATGTGTTATTTGGAGAGGTACTTGCAGCTGCTGTCCTTGTTCTTTGAGGTGATAAAAGGTCATGAGTTTGGAAGGTGCTGTAAAGGAGGCTTGGAGAATTGCTGCAGTCCATCTGTAGATGGGCACGGTGTAGCTATTTACACTGTGTGCCAGTCGTCAAGGGAGTGAATGTTTCATGTAGTGAATATAGACGTCTGCTTTGCCCTGGATGGTGTCAAGTTTCTTGAATGTTGTTGGAGATGCAGTCCCCCAGGTAATGGGGCGTATTCCATCACACTCCTGATTTGTCCTTTATAGATGATTGACTTTAGGGCACGCAGTGCAGGTAAAATTCCATTCAGTGCTGTGCACTTCATTTTTACAGCTACACGCAATCTCAACCACTCCACCCATCGAGAAAAGTATTTCCTGTCTCCCCAAAAGTAATGGGAGTGCCGACAGGAGCTATGGTCTGAGAGAGCAAGCAGAGAGCACTCACTCAGTTGTCTGCCGCACTCAGGTTGAAAGAGGAGTGCAGCAAGATGAAGTATGAGATGTGAAATGAATTCACATCTCGCACTCAAATGAAGGCGGATATACAGTGATCCTGCTTGGCCAGGGCGAACAGTGGCCAAATTGATATTACGCTACAGCAGTCAGGAATTCTGTGCTGGCCACTTCTGCCCACTCACTTAATCAGGAGAGTTTAGCCATTGCTGGGACACTGACATGGAGCTTCTCCCACCATTAAGTGGGGCTGACTACCATGTTTCCCACTTTTACAGTCTGGATTAAGCCCAGCCCAATGTTGTAGTTCAGTGAGTTTACCGTGCAGCCTTAACTTAATTGCATTGTTCCAACTTTGATTGTCATTCAAAAACATCACTCTGATTGTGGTCAAAAAATTGCACATGCTTCTCTCATTTGAAGACATTAAGTTTATTGAAGATTGAACTGGACAAACGTGGGTTTTCATCTGATCTGGAAGCATTGAATTCATTTATTTCATCTGGGATACCTACCATAGATTTTAGAATTATCAACAACATTTTTATTACAACTTTTTTTTTCCAATTCTATAGGGGCAAAACGGTTCTTGATAGTTGCCAGTACCTCACAATTAAATCATATCACTGGTATCCCCAACAAATTAATGGACACAGAGTTGAAGGAAGAAATGGTGATTTCCTGCAAATTCCTGAGCGCCTGCTGGATGTTCCTTTTACATCTTCAATTAACACAGGGAGTGAAAGTTGTCAACGTGTGCAATTCACAGAATATAGCAGCCAACAGTGGTTTCAAACGAGTGTAAAAGGAATTGCACTCAACAGTAAGGTAAGACCAATTTTCTTTGGAAACAGTTATACAGATACTGACGACCTGAAGTTAAACAAGTAAATAATTATGGGAGTGAAATTGTTTCCCTTGGAAGTATTGATAATAGTTGATCAGTAGATGGCAACAAAGAAGAAAACTTAACAGTGCAAAAAATTCAGGTTTTAGATTTGGAAAAGAAGTACGCTTGGTGAGTTAAATAGATTTCTGTCAAACTTGAGATCTTTATTTCTCATTTAATTGATACAACTGTACTTGTGATTGTTCATTTGAATGAAGAGCCAAAAAAGACAAAATTCAGCAAACATGTCAGTTGAGACATCAGAGAAGATAGTTGAACAAAAAATCAGAACAGACTTTCGTGACAGTTTCTGAGTTTTTATCATTAGCTGATAATTGTGTTTAATAACTCTTATTTTCTTAAACTGATATTACTTACTGTAGAATCTCATTAAGCACCACTTTGAGGTGCACTTTGTTTCTATATGTTGGAATTTTACCCAACCCCATTGTTGGGGGCTTTGTAAAGTTCCTGCCATCTTCCAACTGCCATGATATTTTACCAAAGGTGGAGAATGGCTCTCCCATGAAGAAGCCAATTGAGCCACATTAATGAACAGGTATTTTAGAAGGCTGGTGGCTTGCCTGGCAGATTAGGGAAGGTTCCTCCTAATCAGACAATCTTTGACCAATGAAAGATGGTGACAAGTAAACTCAATGAAAATCTGAAGTAAAAAGCTAGTCAATGGTGACCACATAACCACTATTGATTAATAATAAAAAAACCTGATTTGCTAATGTCCTTTAGGGAAGGAAATCTGCCCTCCTTTTCTGATCTGGCCTATTCTCAGAAATATGGTTATTTTTTAACTAGAACTTGGACAATTAGGGATGGGCAATAAATGCTGACTTATGCAGTGATCCCCTCATTCGTTCCCAAAGTGATGTGATTTTGTCTAAGAAAATAGGTTTATATACACATTTTGCATTGTTTTAAGTAATGCTGTTGACATAAAAATTGACTGTCTTATTTTTAAATTCCTGCCACAATGCAGGTATTTTCTGCAAGTTTAAAGAATCGGAGTTCATGGCCCCTTGCGGACAACATTGAAATAATCTATCAGATTCACAATGCGGACAATCGCATTGTTCCACACAAATCTGCATGCCTTCTTTGGAACCAGGCAGCTGAAAGGTGCAATTCTGAAATAGTTGATTATATATTTTGTTTAACGATTGGTTTGTTATAGTTACATGCAAAAATAGAGGAATAAGTATTTAGCTGTTATAAACAAAAACAGAAGTTGCTGGAAAAGCTCAGCAGTTCTGGCAGCATCTGTGAAGAAAAATCAGAGCTAATGTTTCAGGTCGGGTGACCCTTCCTCAGAATGGAACAAAAACAGAATGTTCTGAGGAAGGGTCACTGGACCTGAAATGTTAGCTCTGATTTTTCTTTGCAGATGCTGCCAGACCTGCTGAGCTTTTCTAGCAACTTCTGGTTTTGTTCCTGATTTACGGAATCTCCAGTTTTTCAATTTTTATTTAGCTGTTACAGTCAGCTTCAAATGAATTTATTTTTAGTATATTACCTTGTGATTCATTCATGCTGGATACTAGCCTTTCCTTGAACTTTTTGGTATGGTCTATTACGTGTGGAAACCCCAAAGATTGCCATCATCGTAGAGGGGACAGGGATGATGACTCCACGTTGAAGCCCCTGCATGCTCAGTGACCCTGGTGCATTACATGAAGGCAAGAATTAGGACTGGTTTCAATGTAGTGAAAACAGATCTGGTCAGTCATGGGGAGACAGTTCACTCTACTATACTATTGCTCATGCAGTGAAGACAAGAAACCACATGGATGCTTTTATGATTATGAATTATTTCTGATTTTTGCAGTTGCATAATTCTCATGGTTTGCCAGTGACAAATCTGCCAAATAGTTTTTATGAGAATATTACTATTGACAACTGACTGAATACATATATGAAATAATAAGTTTCAAATCAGGATGCAGTTAGAATCCAGATTGGAATCTAAAGGAACCTATAACTTGGCACATGCACTGATATTCCAAACAGTTTAGATTTACTTTCTTTCATATAGAGCTGGTGAGTGCTCCATTGAAATCTATCTGATTTTGTCATTTATATATATTAAAAAGAGTACATTTTTGCAGTGAGATGGGATTCACTTTGCATACTTTCAGAAAGTAACAATGCTTAAAAGGAGCACAGAATATACTGCATCAACTTGTAGCCCTGTCTCCACCTGTTACTAACTTCCAGCAGGCGTCCAAATTGGGTAGATGGAGCTTGTCAGATTTAGGTTTGCAAGTGCCTTTGTGAAAGTTAGATAATTAGAAACATATGGACAGCAAAGTTGTACAATGTATGGTAAAGTACTGCTTGCATGAGGTAAGCAGAATGCCATGCCCACCAAAATGCTTGTCCAAAAATTGTACATGCATTGTGAGGTTTTTCTATCCATCCTCATAATTGTCATAAGACTGTCTGTTACTTCATTTCCTGAAATGTACATTTGACAGGAAACCAATGTTTTTAATCCTGCCATGGTGATTTAGGGAGGTTCAAATCTGCAAATTTGAAAAACCTGACCCCCGGATTCTCTGCAAAAGCTCCCGCTTCTATTTAAATTGAGCAGGTTTGGGAGTTCCCACTCTGGGGAAGATGGTCTGTGATTATACTTCTTGCTCAAATTTTGACAGCCACATAAATTTAAACCCAGCATGCTGAGTTTCCTGGAGCTTGGGGAATTCAGCACTTGAAATGGATGGTAGCAAGGGACCCAAGCAAGTGAATGCTTTTCATAATGCTGCTTGTGTTCCAGGCAAGTGAGTGCTTTTCTCAGTCCTTTTTTAGGAAACACATGCCACAATAAGCAGAATAACCCAACATCTCCCCACTCCCCTTACCCATTCTTCCCATCTGCCCGTCTGACTACCACCTCCTAATCTTGGTGTCATCTCACAATGTCCCTTGACTCCCCTCCCTATTATGTGTGTAGAATTGATTTTTTTTATCCAATGTCCAAAAACATTCAATCACATCTAAAATCCCACTTAGATTAAGGTATGACCACTACCAGCATATATTGTGTCATTTTATAAATAAGAAGATATACTTCTTGCAAGTGACACCACTAGGAAGAACTGAATTGTGAAATTTTGCTTAATTTTAACATTTGACATGCTTATGTTTTCTAACAAGAATCCTGTACTGTTTGTTTCTTTTAATAGTTGGTTATCAGACAAACAATTTTGTCGCGTGGTTGAAGGTACCAGTAATTATGTGGAATGTGCCTGCTCCCACATGTCCATTTACACAGCTTCTGCACAAACAGACAGTCTTTCCTTATACAATGAAGCCTTCTTTGCAGCTGCATTTATTTGCATTTCAGGTATGTGGAAAAGAAAGAAACCTTTGGCAAAACGCATGATTGCATTGAACGAGATTATTGTCAATGTGCCAACATAGAAAGAACACAGTTACCCTTCCAAAACTAGAAGGCCAAAAAGTCAAATTTGAATTATCATTTTCCCTGAGTTTAGTTCTGTCGTTAATATTTGAAGTCTTCAAATTTTTGGTCTTTCCTCATATTACCCAAAGCCATAAAATAACAACTCATGATAACTAATTTTGTTAATAACTATCTACCAATATAGTTTCCCAGGTTGTGATCGAAATATCTGTGTACAACTCTATGAAAATTAGTGTGTTAATTCCCATAAACTTGCAACAACAATGTTTATCTGTACAGTCTCGCATAAAACCACTGAGTATCATCCAGTTCAAAAAAATAAACAAACAACAGTGTGCCAAATTTCCACACTCAAGATGAGGATATAGGTTCACCTTACCTGAATTTACGCCTTGCTTTCTGGTCACGTTTTGCCATATTTGGAGAAGTGGTTGAGTGATAGTGGGTGCCAGTCTTTGCTGCCAACTTTATTGTCTGACTGATTTTCTACCAAATGTTTTGGTGGCTATCAGAAGCCTGCCTCCTTGACATGTGGTACAATCTTCATTTTAAGGGACTTGTTAATGTCCCATTTCCCCTCATTATCATGTCAGACCACACTATTCTACATAGAATTAGAGTTTACAGCAGAGAAACAAATGTGCCTGAGGGACCACTTGGCACCAGAACTCACTTTAGCCTTCCTCCAAAGATTGGCAAAAGAACTGAATCCAGAAAATGATTTGATGTCAAGGCAACTTTGAATGGAGTGTGACATCAAAGAGACCTGGCAAAATTAAAGTTAATGGGAATTGAAGTCACGCCTATCATAAAGGAAGATGATTGTGGATTGTTAGAGGTCAATAATTTCAATCCCAGGATATTGTTACTGTTACAGTTTTCAATGTCTGAACATATTCAACCATTTTATCGTAAGGTTAGAAGTGGGATGCACAATATTTGTTTCTGTTTGCAGCACATCAGAAAATGAGTAATTCATGCAGGATGTTCAGGATAGACTTCAAGTTTGTATTCATAAGTGGCATGTAACATTTGTAGCATACTGGAGCAAAAGAATTACCACCTGAAAGAAGATATGGTCTAACCGTTGCTGAATTCCCCTCCAAAGAGCATTCTGGTTTTCATCAGTTGGCAGAAACTTCATCGGACTAGCCTCATAAATGTTGTGGCTATAAAGCAAGTCAGAGGTTGGGAATTTTGTGGTGATTTTCCCAAACTCTGTCTGCCATCAAATGACACAGCTTCAAAAATAGTTAAGAATTGTGACACTATTCGAGACAAAACCACTCACTTGATTGGCATCTCCTCATGTGATAACACTTCTCAATGCTTTAAAGGTGGAACCAGCTTGTTCCCTTCAGGCAGATTGGGTTAAAATTTTGATCTCTATCTGCACCTGGAGTTTTCCCAAATCATACTGACCTTGTGTGTGTCTATAAGTGGGTAGGAATTTTGTTTGTCCCATGTGCCCTTGAAAAATGTAGGTTTCGAAATCCCTATTGAGTACCTACTCCTTTCTTAACTGAGCTGCTACAATGAGCACTTTGTTAATCTGCTGGAGAGACAAATACCTCAAGGAATTTTACCATCCTGTTAACAGATGTAAAACAATATTGGTGACAGCAATAGAAAATCTACATTTCAGGTTATGACTGAACCTGAATTATTTGGTGATAGAAAAACTAATAAAGGAGAAGATATAAACAATCTCCACATTGTTTCTCAAAATTAAAGCAGTAATAAGAGAGAAGTGAACAGTCAGTATTATACTTAAGCCTCCAAGGGTAAAGGGAAAAATCAAAGATGTAAATTAATTAAACCAGGAGAGAAAATCAGGAAATGTGTGAGTAAAATGTTAGAGCAAAATGTCAGGTTTGGGTGTGCAGCTCAAGTTGCAGCTCAGCTTCCTTATATGTCAAAAAATGTAGGAAACAAAATGAATGAACTGTGGATGCGAATTGAAATTGGAAATTATGACAGGGCCATTTCTGAGACACAACTGCAAGACTGTCAGGTCGGGGAATGAAATATGCCAGATTGTAAAATCCACAGGAAAGATAAGGAAAATGACAGAGGGGTAAAATAACCTTAGGGCCCCAACTATTCATAATCTCTATCAATGATTGTGAAAATTAAGCATAATATTTCCAAGTTTGCAGATGACACAAAATTATTTGAAGGTGTGAGTTGAGTTGTGAGGCGGATGAAAAGATACTTCAAGAGAATTTAGTGAGGCAAAGTGACTGGGCAAAAACTTGGCAGATGAAATATCAAGTAGATAAATGTGGGATTATCTAATTTGGTTGGGAAACTGTAAATACAGAGTATTTTTTGAATGGGAAGAGGCTGGAAAGTTTTGAACTTCAAAGAAACTTGGGTATCCTTGTTCATGAGTATCTGAATGTCAACATGCACGTACAGCAAGTAATTTTAGTCAAATGGTGTTGGTCTTTATTGTAGGAGGATTTGAGTATAAGAGCAAAGATATGTTACTACAATTATATAGAGCCTTGGTGAGACCAGAGCTGGAGTACCTTGAGTAGTGTTGGTCTCCTTACCTAAAGGAAGATATTCTTGCCATAGAGAAAGTGCAACACAGGCTCATGAAACTAAAACTGAATAGAATGGGTCTAAGTTCTCCACAGTTCAGAAGAATAAGAGTAATCTTATTCAAACATAATAAATTCCAACATGGAAAAACAGGGTAGATGCAGGAAGGATGTTTACCCTGCCTATATGGGTCTAAAATCAGGAAATATGTTCTTAGACTACGGGACAGGCTACTTAGGGCTGAGGTGAGTTTCAGGCAGCTTTTGATAAGGTCCCTAAAAGAGGTTAATGGGAAAAATTAAAGCACATGAGATGGGAGTAATACATTGGCATGGATTGAGAATTGGTTAACAGACAGGAAGCAGAGAGTGGGAATAAATTGTCCCTTTTCGAGTGGCAGGCAGTGACCAGTGGGAACCCAATGATCAGTGCTTGGGCCCGAACTATTCATAATACATATAAATGATCTGGATGAGTGAACCAAATGTAACATTTCTAAGTTTGCTGATGACACAAATCTGGGGGAAGTTGTAAGGAAGAGGCAAGGGGGCTTCAAAGTGATTTAGACAAGTTGAGTGACTGGACAAACACATTTCAGATGGAGTACAATGTGATCAGATGTGAAGTTACACACTTCAGTGTGAAAAACAAGAAGGAAGTTTATTATTTAAATGGTGACATATTGGGAAATGTGGATGTACAAAGAGATCTACCTTCAATTAATGAAAGTAGACAGGCAGTGCAGGAAGAAATTAAGAAGGCTAATGGTATTTGCTTTCGTTGCAAGAGGATTTGAATTCAGAAGTAGGGATGACTTTCTACAGTTACACAGGCCTTGGTGAGACCTCACTCGGAGCATAGCTGGTAATTTGTCTCCCAACCTAAGAAAGGATATATTTGTCTTAGAGAGAGTACATTAGATATTCAATAGGCTGATACCAGAGATGACAGAACTGTCATGAGGAGAGATTAGTTTGACTGGGCCTGTATTCTTTAGAGGTTAGAAGGATGAGAGGAGATCTGAATGAGGGCTGGACAGACAGGATGCAGTGGGATTGTATTCCCTGATTGAGGAGCCTAGAACCATGGTGCACAGCCTCAGATTACGCGGCAGGCCATTTAGGACTGAGATGAAGAAAGATTTCTTCATACAAATATACTGTACCTGTAGAATTCACTACACAGAGTGTTGTGGAGGTCAAGACACTGGATATATTCAATAAAGAGATTGGTTTTTGAGGTTTTGAAGGCATTAATGTTGCCGGGGATAAAGTGGGAATATGGTGTTGAGATTGCAGATAAGCCATTATCATATTGAATTGTGGAGCAGACTCTCAAGGCTGAATGGCCTACTCCTGCCCTTAGTTTTTATGTTTCAATCATGGGACCCACTGCATGGGCAGTGACCAAAAGAAACACCAACCGTGGACCTCTGAAATCTGATAAGTACCAGCCTCTCTGCATCATGATGGCACATCTCTGATACACTTCCTGTACTGTTCTGCACTTCAGCGCTACAGTTTGCAGCACACTGGTACCTTTGCATTGGAATGCTGCTGCCAGGACAGTTTGCACAAAGGGACAGGCACCATTTCATGGATTATAACAGGCTGCAACTCGGGGCCACTTGCTCCTTCTCTTAGCACCCACTCATTTAGTACCTACTTAAATGTTCCGAGCATTCCTGCTTCACCTTGTCTTGTCTTGACAGTTTGCTCTTTGCTCTTTCAGCTAGACTTTAAGGACTCAAAGTATTTCAATAATAACTTGCCTTCTGGTGTAAGCACAAGCCAGACAGCTTGTCATACTTGTCAGCAGTGATCAGACAAGAGGATGGACATGTTCCTGTATGTCACAGTGCTAGGTGAATCTTACATCTGCACAATGTGCCAATCACGTACTTGCCAAACACACTGCATGCGCACCAAGCAAATGCTGTTGTCTCAAAGTCTTGGGAAAAGTCCTTCATCAAGTTAAGAAAAGCAACCTTTCGGTGAGGGGTGGCACTGGCAGCCTCCATTATCAGTCCAAAGTTTGGGCATGGTCAGTCAGCCACGTGGGATGTTAGGGGTGGGCATCCTTACCTCTGCAGTTGAGGTGATCGCTATTGCCTTCCATCTTGTTCTAAATAACAAGCGCGCAATGGAGCTGAATATGGTGGCCAGCACACCCAAATTGGGCAGGCTGTTGCATTCTGTGAGGGAGGGGGCTTCTCTTTCAAGCAGTGTGAGGCCTACAGCAGTGATGCATAGACATCCATATTGTCAAGTTTAAAGTTACCTGTGATCGCTAAATGCTGTGTGTAAACCTTGGGCATTAATCTACTTAACCAAATCCTGGCCCCAGGCACTCTTGACCACATCATGCAG